GGGTGTACAGGCGTGCCTTCAGGTCTGGGAGGAGGTCCTGGTGGGGAACCAGGCTGCAGGTAACCCGGGCGCCAGAGGCGGCGCGCGTGACCTCAACACCACCGACCAAGCCAAAGGGCAGGGAGCGCGAAGTGGAAGAGCGCAGACTAGGAAGCGCGGACTTCCATGGCCGGGACTCCGGCAATGTCAGCCGCGAAGGACAAGTGGGCGACGCCGCTGGTCTCCGCAGAGGCACGAAGATTAGGTAGAAACGGATTAACCGAGATAACTGAATGACTGACCGTTACAATGGTGCCCTAAAAGGGAACACGGGTGAAAAGATAACTGGCCGCGAGAGGTGGAGCAGCCCGCGGGGGCCCGGAACAGCTGCCGACATGTCGGTTACGCCATGGAACCGCGCCGCCAGGGCAAGCTGCACTAGTGAGGAAGGCCTAGCAAGTATAAAGGTGAAAGCATGCCCGATGGGCAGCCCCGGGGAGACCCCATGCTGGAAGAGGTAGCCCTATGGTATCCCCATGTACAAAAACAGGTAATATTGGGCTAGGAATGCGGTGAGTGGCATTCATGTGCAGGTGCCTCATCATCCTCCGGCTCACCAATCACCATAGTCCTCCAGTAAATGACCGTCACAATGGTTCCCTAGAAGGAAACACGGGTGATGAACCCAACCCTACACTGCAAGAAGAAACGGAGTACACCGTAAAGAAAATACCAGAATGGGCCAGCAGGAAAACAGGCAACAGAACCCAGAAGTAACCAGAAAAGAGGTAAACAACGAGGGTAGAAGCCAAGAAAACGGCCCCTCAGCAAAATCCTCCACAAGCAAAAACTAGGGTACCTCCAGTGTCCCCCACCCCCCTTTCCCCCCGCCCTACCCGCGCTGTACGTAAGAGGCCGTACAAGCCAGCCCCTCACCCAACCGTAGGTGGCAGCACGATTACTTGACGCGTTTTATGTTGTCTCAAGAAGCACTGGGAGGGCAAAAATAGGAAACTGAGGCGGGAAAATAAATGATAAGTGCAGCAACGGAGTCCAACTTCCAACTCTGAGAGGGAGGGGAGGAGGGGGACCCCTCACCCTCCCCCCCTCACCCTGCTACAGCCATGATGAGGACCCCCTTACCCCCGAACCGGTACCCTTCCTAGCAGTGCAAGTCCCCAGCCAGCCTTTACTTGGTCCCCGTGCGATGAGCTAGCAGAGCTGACAAGGCATGCGCAAACGCCCTTCTTTTCCTATTGTCACCATCGACTGCCACGTACTATGTGCCCTTCCGTTTGTTTGGAGAATGATTGCTGCAAGGGCATGTTTAATTGCTATACAATACACCTTACAATGCCTACAAGCAACACGGGCCAAGGGCTAAGTTCACCCATGGCGTACATAGCGTCCTTGCCCATTGCACACATTTCAAGCTTAATATCAAGTACTGCGTAACATCTCGTCATGCTTCATAGTACCCGCGCGGCAGGCTACCGAACTCAAAAAACACAAACTGTAACATGGAAATGCTATCTGGGTCCTGCATGCATGTCAATACGGTTTAACCTACACTACTAAGCAGGATGCGGATGACAGGCTCGGCAATGTTGGTGCTCGCAGTCCCAATTTTTCCATCAAGCTTTGTATGGAAACCAAGCTTATCAGGATGCTGGGTGGCCACGACAAGCTTCTGCTCACTGCACATTGGGCTGATAACGGTATGTTGGGATGATAATATTCATGAAGGCGGGCTAGTGGCCGGGTGCAGCCGTGTTGCTGCCCCTAAGTGGTGTGGCAGGAAGGGCGTCAGCTAGGTCCTGAACGTCTCCATCATGTACAGTTGGCTCGCCCCGATTAGGGGCGTAGTCTTAGCGTTCACTCAAAATAGTCCGAGCCGAGGCGTTATGTCCTTTTTGTACCGTGTGCATGTCCTATGTGTACCCTTGTACAGTTTGTATGTACCTGCACCGAGGTCTCAGATTCGGTCGGACAAGGTGGCGTAGTAATTGGTGTTGTGTTTTGAATACAATGGCATGTCGGAAAAAGTAAGAGGCTCAGAGCTCAGAAGACGACCCAAATGTCGTACATATTGGCGGAAAGAAAGTGCTGTTGGCGGGTTTGTCTAGGTGATTCGTAATTTCCATAGCAATGTCATTGTAGTGTTGTAAAGCTGGAACCAACGTTTAGCCCAGAAGCCAAGGATAAGTTGGCTCTTGTTGTGCCTCCCTCAAGGCTGATTTGCCTATTGCAAGAAACTGAACTGGTAAAGCTGCTATTTCTGCTATAATGTAGAAAGTTTAGTTGTAATTCAATACAAACAGCTTAGCAAAGGCTGCTGCTGCCGCGGCGACCGCAGAGCCAAAAGTGGGCATCGTCCCGCTACATTCACATTTACGTTCGTTCATTCATTTCGTTCGTTCAACGGCCACCGCTGAAAAGTGGATCGCACGACGTGCTCGTTTGGCGTATTCGATGCGTCCCTCGCCCGACCTGGCCTTTGTCGCAATCCTGTGGGCTATCGCTCTGGCGATTGCTTCTTTGATGCCTTTCGTTGGCTGTTGTTCCAGCAACGCGGAGTTGATGTGGGTGTATCAGCAGTGCGTCAAGCGGGGAATGGCGAATTTCGCCGGTGTTATGGCGTTTTTGTGGAAGCCTACGCACGAGCGCGCATATTGGACCCTGCCACACCGCATGCAGAGCTTAGGCAGGGGGTTAGCGCGCAGTTCGAAACCGACAATCCACACGTGTCGCTGGCTGCAAAAACAGCCACGGCCATTCCTAACGAGCCGAGATATGCACGCACCGCTGCATCAGAATGCGCCGCTGTGGCTGCTTACTGCACGGACATGCTATCGCTGGGAGAAGGGCCTGTGGTCACAGCGGCATGAGCGAACGAAAACATCATACACTGGGTAGCAGTTGCCTTTCACCTTGACCGTTTGGCATGCCGATGGCTTTGGGTGTCGTGCTCTTTCTTACGCATATGGCGGCAACAGCGAAGAAATGCGCTTGACTTTTTTTGCGGGTCATTACGAACCAGTTGTACGGGCAGACCCCACAGCCCACACCTAGCAGCCGCCAACATGCAAGCATCCAACGAACCAAACCCAAACCTCAATCGCCGATCTAACCCCAATCTAGCCCAACAGCATTGCTGAAGTTGTGCGACCAGGTGCTGTTAGCCGCAGAGAGGCTGTGCATTGGCATACAATAGGCATCATCTTGACGCAAAAGGTGGGACAACCTACCCCTCCTTGCTAACAGGCTGTTTGACTGTGTTTCAATGGCGCGTGATAACTGGACGCACTGCGCTCGTCTTTTTATGGCGGTGGGCCAACCTAGGTTTTCAAGCATGGCGGACTGTTGTAGCAAATGTCCGGTGGTGCGCCTGCATGCATACTTTGGGATAGAGGAGGCTGGTGGTGCACCTAGGGTTTTGCTCTTGTCGACCCATGTTCCCGTTTCCACTAGCTCTACACACCGCCAAACCTTGCGTCGAATCACGGGGAAGCAGGATCCCACAGGCACACCCACGGACCGCACTGACGCTTCTATGCATAGCACTAACATGTAATACGCATCCCAACTGTACGACCTCCCTCCATTCCGTTCCAACGGAGCCGGCACCGATATGTCCTAGGCAAGACTTGATAGCGAGTTTGAATTTAATAAAGGGGGCGAGCCCCGGTGTCTGCGAAGCTGACGGGTTTGGGAAGGCTGACGTCCATCCCCAACACCAGCCGGTGCTGCGCCATTCTGCATGCCAGCCGGAACTTGGCCAAGAGGTGCTTGTGAATGACGTTGCTGTCCCTGTGAGTCTAGTGAACTAGTGAATCCCAACCCCAACGTCACCCGTACAAGGGGAGAGGGGCTAACAAGACCTTAGTATGCCGCCCGCTCTCACGTGTCTGGTAACTGGCTGCGTCCTCAAAGTCGTACGAGTCCCCCTCGTCTGCTGTCGCATAGCCCCCACTATCGTCGCTACTAGTGTCGTCGCCATCGCCGTCATCGCTTCCTAAGGAACGCCGGTGATACCGGTACAGCAACATCATTGTTAAATGTCCATCCCAGTCATAGGCCTCCTCGGAGTCCTCGTGAGGCAGCTCTAATTCGTCGCTTCACATAACGCGACAAACTAAAATTGAGGCTACCGTGACACTTTGCTGAAGGAGATATTACATCCTACAAGCTAATATTTAGTTGCAATTAAATACAAGTTTGGGCTTTACTGTGGCAGCTTGGCGGTGCCGTTTTCAGAGAAATGAGCTCAGAGTTTGCAGGCAAATTGATAAATAGCCACCCAATAATTAGCTTAGAACCCCTGAGTCAATAATAAGGTAAAAAGAGCCTTCGTCTGGCAGTTCTCTGTTGGCCTGTCCGTCCAGGGGGGGCAAACAGAGAACAGGGACCCAGCGCCGATCATGCAATGTTGGCATTGTGGTCACAAGGACTTCGACCATTGGCACATTGCAAGTTGGCTTACCGGCGAGGCATCCGTTCGGGTTATAGTCCAGAGTCATTATGAGGTGCAAGAAATGAACTGTGGATCGAAAGCTGTAGGTGGGCTGTGTTGCTGGGTTACAACTACGATTGGAGAAGGGGTGCCACCCCAGGATGGAGATGCACGAAAACAACTTAGGACTGCTGGCGTTTAATTCTACGGTGGTATTTAATGGTGTGGCATTTGGTAATCAGAGGCAGCAAATAAACTTCTGACTCGCTGCTCGATGTCGTTGCCTTTGACAAGCAGTTGATCCGCAACGTGGTTGAACGACATAATTATATACCTACTCTCAAGGACTTGTCATATGCAACATTGTATATGTGGAGCTGAATGAAGGATGCAAATTTTGGTTGCAGTGGTGAAGTTCCTCTAGACCACATAAAGAAGCACTTCATATTATACAGAGCATGCCGCTTATCGAGCGTTCCTACTATTCCAGACATTCGGTTACGATCGTTGTCATTGTCGTATCAATATCATAACCACGCAATAGTTTTTCTTATTGCTCTAACCAAGGCGAGGTACAGGCATTGAAAACGGTTAAACACTACGATCATGAGTTACAAATAATGAGGGCTGGGCGCTAAGTTTCATATGGGCATCGCCCACGTCCGACAGCCTGCTTACACAGGACTTGGAGCAGAAGCTCTTCTGTACTGTTCAGCTTCCATGCGCAAAGATGACAACTTATGTAGCTTGGAAAGGCTATGAACGGAACCCCGAATGAAGTCAAAGCAACCATAAGCGAAAGCGTTAGCGACACCCCATTCACGAGCATTAACAATAGGAGCTTCGCGGAACTTACAACCAGAGCGCTGGGCGAGCAGTACTTTCTGCTGTAATGGTCGCTAATTCGACCGCGGGTTCAAGCTACGCAGGGAGCGTTGCTTCATCGGCGTCCTCTAACTCCAGGCCTGCTCGGTGAGAATGGTTTGATACTACTAAAAGATAGTTCGTAGATAGAGTTAGACTCTCGTCCAGCTTCCTTAGGTTTCTGTGTATGGTGAGCATTTTTATATTATATGGAACCACCTAACTCGTTTCTTTAATACCTGTTGGTATTGAGGTAATTTATGCAACACCGGACGGTTGGTAGTGTCACGCCGAGCGTGGCGTTTGAAGATGTAGGGAGCCCTGAAAGACCTTAAAGTAAAAGATGCAGTTCCTACCTGTGTTTACCACCTCTGTAGAGCCGGTCAGGAGCCACATGACGGATATGGGGAAAACGTTTTGGAACGGCGGTCATCCTTCGAGGTAAGAAATCGTTGACGTAATTGCCAAGGCCTTTGAATGACTCTCTATATACAACCGAACATTCATGCCGTTTGCGCTTGGACTACTGCCATGTAAGGCTACTGCCTACGTACATCTAAGTAGGTTTGTGGCTAGCTCGCTGCCACTCTTGTATCGAATAGCATATAGGGTGGACTTCATATGTGAACGCCCTGTCATAGCGACATAAGGAGTTCGGATACAGGACTGGGCCGTGGCCGTCCATAGCATGCCGTGCATCAATGAGTAGCAATGCGCTAGGGAGGCTTCCATTTTGACTTAAAGGAGGTGGCCTTGCACTGCAGAATGGAATTTTCGGCGTCTTGTTTACTCTCAGGTGGGTTCCTAGATAGCCGTCCATCCTTGTCAGTAAGTTTGCCTCCCCACCCCCATTCACCCTGATAGCCTGTCTTGGCTGCGTATGCACATGGCCTTAGTCGTGTTCAGTGCACGTCCATTGCTGTATCTTTGCCTGCCAGAAATCGCATACTATCGTCATCCATTACACGCCTGTGTGATGGCACGTCATTGCCATGCACAACACTGGTCCTCAAACCGCATCACAAGCGGCAGAAACTGGTTCACGAAATTCCTGACGGTGGCGGGCGCCTCCATTGGCTGCAGTAAGGAGAACAGCGAGTCGCAAATTCGCATCCGCTGGGTGCTTGTAAAGATCCTGCTGGATGGCTGGCAGCTCTTCACCACCATCATATCACCCGCGGAGCAGGGATGGGCAATCAAGAGCAATGGAATGTGGGTGGTGCCGAAATGTCAATCACTCACCGCTGTTGTGATTGATTTCACTGATTGAGCGTGTCCACCCATGTATGGTGCTGCTGCAATCTGAATTCTGCCTCCCCACCCTTCACAGTGCCTGGTCGGTGGTCTCCGTGCTCAATTTTACCTGGTTAGCGGATCTGGTAAGCTGTGCGCTTGGGCATGCGTACTCGTAGACCCCTGGCCCGTACAATTGGAATCCTGCTACTTGTCAGGGCTGCTTATCAAAACATGCAGCACATCTAGCGAAGGTTACTGTAGTGAAGGTTGACAATGCCGTCACGCTGCACCGTCGTCTGTACTGATGGCCCTTATCCATCTACATGGCACGCTGCCAGCAGCAGGTTCGTGACATGGCCGTCTCGTCCCTCCCACCACTTCCCCACCTGCGCCCCAGGGCTACGGTGTCTACATTGCCGTGCTGTACCTCATGCTGACTCTGCTGGCGGTCAACGTGGGCATGTGCGTGTGGGTGGCCTGGTGCTTCAAGGAACAGAAGTTCCCTGTTGTGTGGCCCATCATGGTGGGTTGTTACGCTGCGCTCAGCTTCTAGAACTGTACGTATCCCTTACTGCTTTTGTTGTAGCTAAATCACATTGTTCGCAGCTTCAAACGTAACACGGATGTGTCAATCGTGACTGCCAAGGTATCTGCAACCTAAGGTTGTGTCATCACGTCTACGGTACCCCTGACAGGCTCTCCGGGTCTTCAGCAGCGTGTTCTTCCAGGCGTTCGATGTGGCATCGCTGAACCTGCTGCAGGTGGGTGGGTGGGGCGCAGGACTCGGGCATCGTGCCCCTGCCATGCCACTAATTAGGGGATAACCTCCAAAGCATAGAGTCCTATGCTTGAGCTTTCACCCCACGTCTTACACCATCATTGCCAGTAAAGTGCCAGGATGGTCTGCCGTATATGGGGCCAAGCTTTTTAGGTGGGCCACTGTTCAGTATGTTGGTTTGGGTGTTTCCAACCCAACGATGTCCTGGCTCCCTTGCCCCTAAGGTCAATGCTACCGTATTCGTTATTATTGCTTTGTAATATCTCGCTCCTACCCTACTGTAACGCTGCCCCAACGCAGCTCGGCATCAGCTGCCGCTACACGGGCTACGTACAACCTCATCTGCACTTCAACCTCTTCCCACAATACAGTGAGTACTTGGTCGAGGTCTACAGCTGATAAAAATGGTTACGTACGGATCATAGGGTAGCCCTGTCATAGGGTCACCTGCTTTTAAACATGTGGCTGCGGCCCGCCAGCGACCAGCGGTCTGTCCTACCTCACGCAGGCTGCAGCACCGCGCCACACATCCTGCACGCCATCGTGTCCGGGCTGTGCCTGATGCTGTTCGTGGCCATTGCGCTGCTGCTCAACATGGCGGAGGTAGGGGCTTGGGTTGGGGGAGGGGACGGGGACTAGCAAAGGAGGCGTGAAGCATAGCGTGTTCATGCAGGCTTTGGTTGTCGGGCAATAGTTTTCTCACAGGATGATGCGATGTTCATCGCCTGCGTTACCCACTAGGGCTAGCTCGCCTCATGCTAAATCCTTATTGCCCCCGCTACCCTGGCAGGTTGAGGTCAACCCCAAGTCACGACGCCCACTTGCCCTCGGCCACAGCGGAGCGGAGGTGGCGGCCTTTGCCATTAAGGTCCGCATGCATGCATGCGGGGATCCCGTGGATGCTGTACATACTAACCGATAAGGGCCCGGCCAATACTGTTGCGCAACATGGGCTTCGTGTACGGTTTATACTAGTGATGGGTTGCCCCATGTGTGCCTCATGGCTTGCAGGTGCTGCTAACGCTGGTTAACGTCTTCTTTGGCTGGAGACGTGTGGCTGCCTGCTTCTATCTCACACTCTCACTGGCCCTCGCCTACCAGTATCTGCGATGGGTGAGTCTTGAAGCGCAGTGCCGAAGCTTGTTAATCAGTAACAAGCTCATACTGTTGTTTAGTAACAAGCTTAATGCTTGTGTATGCATTAATAGAGGACACCCGTAAATACACCACCCACCTTGAACGGCCCCCCGCAGAGCCCCCACCTTGTGGCCTGGGTCAACTACCTGAAGACCGGCGTGTCTACCACAGTCGTCTGGTGTGCAGCAACACTCATGCTGCTGGTGTTCGAGCCGGGGGTGAAGCAACAGGATCGGGACAGCTGGTCGAAATTGATGACTGTGCTGATGTTGTCAGGACTGGCGCCTGCTTTTGGAGCTGGCGTGCTGTTGTCCCGCACCATGATTCGACGCCTAACCAAGGGAGCAATTAAGTCTGTTGCGTAAGTCCTCTTGCAACGCCACTGTGCTGATTAGGTGTTGCCGCGTGGAGATGAAGTAATAGGACGCACCCTTGGTTCTCTCTGCGCAGGAATGCCCGGCCAGAATGCCAACTGAAAGATTTGTTGGACGTGGATAACCCACGGGACATCGAAATCATTGCAAGGTGTGTCTCTTGCATAAGAGACACGCAGACACGTTAAGGATATGGTTATTCCTCGTTGGAGCTATGGCTTACGCCTGCACTGTCCTAGTTAACTACACTGTTGTTCCCCTCACAGGTGCTGCCGTGTGTGGAAGGACATGTACACGCTTGAGCCCGAGGGTGTTAGTAAGGCCCTTCACTTCATCAAGGTAGGTGCAATATATGCGTGCTTAAGGTAAATCCACAATAAAGGCGGGCAGCCAGGTTATGACAAGGAACCGACCAGTGCAAATACCCACTATACCTACACCACGTCTTGAGAAAACCTGGCTTGGGAATCCTCGCCAGCACTCCTAACTGCCAACAGACCCCAATTCCAAGCCCCATTGCCCCTTCACAGTTTACTGGAATAAACCCTTATTCGTTGCCGGCGCCCCCAGGCTGGCTTAGCCATGTTTCCCACCAGCGCCTACATGGTCCTGCTGCATGCCAACTTTATGATTGATGTGCTGGGGGTCAGCCAGAGCGGCAGCCGCCGTATTGAGGTGGGCGTGGGAAGTAGGTTGTCAGTCTAGCAGCCTTTTTCCTGACCGGGTTGGTAACATTGATACCATTTTACTCCGGGGCCCGTAGCTTCGCTCGTACGTACGTTAAAACTTTACCGCATTGCGTGCAAGCGTGCTGGATGGTATCGGGTTTGGGTTCCTTACCTGCGTGCAGGATGCGAGGAAGCTAAATCCTGGACTCATGTGCCGCTTTATCATGTTTGTACGACAACAGCAAGCCACGGTAAGGTGTGCTTGAGAAGCACACAAGTGCGTCACTAAAATTGTTAAAATCTACGGCTATGAAATTATAAATTACATAACGTAAAGTTTAGTAACCAAATGCATTCAACCTGTTCCCTGGTGCTTGGCAAGGCTTCGTTGACCTGAGAATGTTGTTATCCCTGGGGTCTACCCCAGCTGCCACCGTGCTCGGCCACCACAGCCGTGAAGTTGTTTCTAGACTTTTTCGTATCATGTTTTGCCCCCAGCAAAACGCCGCAGGTAACAGCGCTAACGGTGGAGCCAGTATGGACCTCCTGGGGTAAGCCCGGCTCCTTGATCACATGTAATAGTACCTGTTCGATACCAAATATCCTGGGTAAAGCCGTACCTTCCGGTAACCTATTTGTTTCGATGCAGCTATGTGGAGTATCAGCGCAAGCAGCGCATGGTCATTCGTCTGCACCGGGAGGCCCTGCAGGCCATGTGCAACTTCTGGTAAGTGAGAACAGGGCGAGGGCTGCCTTCCCTTGCTTGTGTTTATTTTCGTGCTAGTAAGGCTCCTGCCTAAAGCATGCAACCTGCCCGTGGGACCACACCATCATCTAAGGTAGATACCCTATCGCCTCGAACGTCGCAGGAAAGCACTGGACGTATCTACTGTGTCATTTACGCAGCTGAGCAAAGCGCTGGGCAAGATTGAGAGCTCCGTATCGCAGGTGGATGAGGCATGGCAGGACATTCTGCTCATTAAGCTTTGTGGTAATTGCTTGTCACACACTCGTGTTTCTGCAGTTGCGACTTCGTTTATATGCGCTTTTGTTGTGTTGTTGTTATCATATACTGCTGGTTACACTTCCATATGCACGTCCCTTCGTCCTCAGGCCCAGGCAGCGTATCGTATCGTGCTGGAGAGCTACGGCAACAGCCCCAAGCTCGTCCGTCTGTACGGCAGGTTCCTTCTTACCATTAAGAACGACCCATGGGACGCGGTAAGACCTCTACCGCTAGCCCTGTGTGTGCAAGCATGTTATCGGGGGATGCAAGCTGTTTCTCTCAGCGTTTAATAATAACGCACACCAGTCCTTGTGAAAGCCCTTGCACCAGGTGGCAGGGCGTTAGGATCTTGGGCCTTGGGATCCTGGCTTAGTCCTCTGCCCTCAAGCTTTTATGTCGTCAAATCAGTTTAGCCCACTCCCACTCCTCCCACCGTGTTCGGCGTACCGAGCAGGCGGAGTACTTTGCGGAGGCTGACAGACTGGAGGAAATTAAGAACACTGACTCGGGTGGTCCGCTGCTGCCAGACGGTGGGTTATGCTCTGCCGAGGTCTGCCGGACTAACAGAGAGCGGAACAGTGCATATGTAGACCCGCGCGTCCTTTGCAAGGGATGGGATGGGATGGGCTTTAGATGCACAATGGCTGTGTACTGCGACAGCAGCGGAGCTCATCAACAGCAATGTTGCTAGCCCCAGAGCAGTCGGCCGCTAGCCGCCGGTCTTGGTAAGACAAGACTTCACTCGACTGCTTCTGACCCTCTTTTCAGCTGTTGACTTGTACGCACTACTAACAGCCTAGCATGGTAGAGCCCTGTGCGGAATAACCCAACAGCTCTCAACTTCACCACTTCCCACCCGCCCGCCTCTTGCAGGCACTCCGCTGGGCCGCATGGACGAGATGGACGTGGCGGTGCTGGTGCTCAACTCCACGGGGGAGATCCAAATGGTGCGTGCGGCGTGGTGCGTGATGACACGATTTGTGTAAATCCTTTATGGGCCTGGGCTGACTGTACTCACTGGGCCCCAAGCACAATGTGCAATTGTACTCTTTAAAACGCTGAATTGAGTGATGACAAGATGCGCCTCTGACACTTGCACTTATTCAATCAGGTCGTTACATGCCCCCAGCCATCTTGCCCAAGCTTGTTCTTGGTCTTTTTTCTTCACTCAAGTCGCCGCTTTCCGCCCCCACCTCCCTGCCACCACACAGGCGAACCGGCAGACTTACAACTTGTTCGGCTATAAGCGGGGTGAGGAGGCCCCACACCCCGACAACATGGTCACAATGGAAGCAACGGCCTTCGCGGCTGCTCGCATTGCTATGACTTGGCAGGAGTTGAATGGATTCCTTACTCCTTTACTCACCCTTACCACCCTAATATGCCTCACCTAATGCTTTTGCCTCAAATTGGCCTTTGCTCGGCTAAGTGCGTCGGCAGCAGCTGTTGCCAGCCGCTGTTTTCTGGTCCAATCAGCCACAGCACCAGTCAGCACACCTCCTATCTTTGTTTGCCGGGTTTGCAAGTCCATCCCTCCCCCCTCACAGGCTACCTCGAGAGCAAACCCATGAGCATCCTGCTTGCACCGCACTACAGCCGGCGTCTGTCAGAGCAGCTGGCCTCGTTGGTCGCTGATGACATTGTTAAGGCGGGCAGCGAGGGCTCTCAGCAGCTTGCTGCCAAAGAGATAATGATGCTGGGTATGCATTTCGACAGGCTGGCATTCCCGGTCAAGCTGTCGCTGCGGAAGGCAACGGGTAAGTGATGTGCAAGTGAATGGTGGCGGTGCGCCAGGTATTCCGAAGGTTGTAGTGCAACTCAAAGGGATGCATTGGCGGAAGCTGTCTTGCTTTAGCCGCGTCCAAGGTTTGTCAGCTCAACTGGCCTGCCAACCGCTGTTCTTTGCAGGTGTGGGCGAGGACTCCACCATCCTGGCGCTCATGGAGCCGCTGCCGCCCGCCAAGAACCGGGCAAGCCTGTGGGTGGCGCCCAACGGCAGCATCGTCGCGTGTGACCCACAGTTCGTAGCCAAGTTCGGGTAAGCAGGACGCGCACATGTTCGGTTAAGCGGTACATGTTAATTCTTTTCGGCAATGAGCATGATGCAACTTCCGACGTATTCCCGTGTTCCAGTGTTTTTTTTGAGCGATATATCGCTTTCCGAGCGATAAATAATTGGTCTAGGCTCCCCGGAAAAGCGATAAGCCCCTTGCAATGCCGTATTTTCATCGCGACGGTCCTTAAGGAAGACGCACAGCCCCTTTAGCAAGAAAACTGAACTAAACATACAAAGAACTTAGCCCTTGGCCAGCTACCCTGAGGTCGAAGCCACAGGGGAAACGGGACAGTAACATATGTGAAGCAAGTATGGTGCGATGATTCCCGCCTGTTGAACAGCGTCATAGAAATAAAAGTAAGACCGAATTAATGATCAGCGCGCAGCCAAAAGACGGGGACAGGGCAGGAGTAATGACGACAAGTGTCAATGTGTATCAGCGCGGGTTAGGGGAGCGGTAACGAGTAAACAACCAGCAAGGTGTAACCGCCTGTACGCACAGTAACTGCGTATATATCCAAGAGTGCGTGCGGGAGGGGGTGTTAAGGGGGAGGGTTTCCCTCCCCCTCCAGGACAGTCCGAATTCTAAGGCACCTCTTAATCGTTGCAACAATTTCCTTAAGACATCTCCCAATTGTGGAAATGTGTAGGTAGCGCGTTCCGAGCCAATAAGTATAGAAAGCAGGTGCCCTTCCTCGGAAAGTGTGAAAGCGACCCATGGGTCTTGGCTTTTCGCGGGGGGGGGGGGTTGAAGCCATTGTGAAAGTAAGGCTGCTGAAAAATAAATGGGTCTCCCGACGTTTGCTTCTAACGGTCCAGTCGGGGCGCGTTCATGTGATACTTCTTGACCCAACGTGCAGTAAAGCTTCCTATATACAGCAAGACGTGCGGGAGGGGGTTTAAGGGGGGAGGGAGCCCCTCCCCCCTCCCAATTATCTATCGGACGTACCTCATAGTCAAGTTGGTGATTAGCCAAGCTGTATAGCCAAACTGTAAAATACGGGCACACAGGGTAGCTGGCTAACCACCTTTCATTAGGCCAATCCATTGTACTATGCTGCAGCACTGTGCCATCTGCGCAAAAAATCACCCTCGCAGATACGCCGCATTTTCCACTTTGACACCGCGGTCGCCCAAGGGTCGTTTGTCGCTTGCTCGCGCCAAATGCATATACGCGCTGCCGTACAACGAAGCCACGCAAGGTAGCTGGCTAACAAGCTTTATCGATGGACGGCAATAAGAAGTTAGTGCAGCCAGGCATTGGCAAGTTCATGACAGGACCATCGGCAGCAAAGTTCACTGAATGAATGATCTTTACAATGGTGCCCTAAAAGGGAACACGGGTGATGAACCCAACCCTACATTGCAAAAGAAACGGAACAAACCGTAGAGACAGCACCACAACAGGCCAACAAGATGGGAGACATAGCCCTAAAAGAAACCTCAGGAGGGAAACAAGAGGGTAGAAGCCAAGAAAAGGCCCCTCAGCAAACCTCGACAAACTTCATCTAGGGCATAAGACAACCCAAACCGGAAGCCACGAACACACCACCCCAAAGGCATCAGGGCCAAAAAACAGGACGCTCAACGGCCCACAGAAAACCGCCCGCCAACAATACGTAAGAAAGGATGAGAAGGGCCAACCCCAGCCCATCCCCGACGGGGAACACCCAAACAAGCAAAACCCCGAAGCTGACCCCAGAACCAGGAAACAGCAGACAGGGCCACCACAGCAGCAAGCCCAGGCACAACACCCGCAGAACCAGACTCACGTACACGAGCCCGTAACAACCGCCGACCCTCCTCCATAGCGGACAAAGCAGCCAAAACAACAACATCCCAAACGCACTGCTGCACGCCCGAAGGAGGCAACGCCAACCACAAGGCAGCCCGAGGAACCGCAAGACCCAGCGTGACCTCAAGCTGCTCAACCACAGCACGAGCAACAGGACAAGCCCAGAAAAAATGCAACCGCGGAGACACCCCCAAGACAACGGACCCACAACCACAACATTCCGGACGAGCCCTAGACATATGAGAATTCCCCAGCAAGGGAACCCCATCAATAGAAAGACGCCAAAACGCTTCCTTGAAACCATTCTCCCAACGAATCGACCAAAGACGCTGGAAAGAATCACGAAGGCCATCCAAGACACCCTCAGGAAGCTGCTGGGTAGCAGGTAACCCCAGGGCCTCCCGAATAAAAGCCGCATGCAACACAGCACGTTCCTCAAACACACCCCCAAGCTGAAGAACGGTAGCCATCCGAACCGACAGATTCCTCAAAGGAACGGCGCCAACATGAGGCAACTGCCACCCCAAACGTGGAACCAAAACCTGCCAGGCATCAACCTCAGAAGCCGGCAGAGGTTGGGGCGGCAAGGCATCAACAAGAAAAGCCTCAGCAGCCTCCACCCAAGCCACAGGCACCGCACCCAACAACGACTCAAGAGACGTCAAAAGATCACGACACCTAGGCAACGAACAAAGAGCACAGGCATCCGGGGACGCCGGGTCCAAAAACCGACGTACAAGAGCGGACCAGCACCTCTCCATCACCCTGCCCTCAGCAACCCCCGACACACCGTTCAACAACGCTGAATCCCACGTGTCCTCAAAACAACGAAGTTGAGCCAGGGCAGCCACACACATACCCAATGAACTTAGGGCATGGCAATGAACGAGCACCGGATAGTGGTGTTCCAAACCCAACACACCAGGTTGGCCCGGCAGCCCAACCGGCAAGAAAGGGTTACCCCACAACGGAACACCCCAACACCAGCTACCCGGTACCAAAGGCTCCGACCCAATGTCAGTAACTGGCGGTAAAATTGCCATAGAAGTCACAACCCGACGAATATCCTCAGGCAAACCATCCACACCCAACCAAGGCCCCCTCCTGGACGCTGTCAACAATGATAGGGGACCAAAAGCCGGATGCAACCTTCGAAGGTACAGAAGCAAAGCACGCTGCCAGGGATGTAAGGAATCCCTTGGCATCACGGCGGAACAAACTAAACGGGCACCCCAACAAGCAAAACGGGCCCGGATATGCTCAATCAAAGGCAAGGCACCAAAACCCCCTGCCCTGGGGTGACCTGCTAACAGCCTACCCGGAACACCCGTGGCACGACGCTCCCTATCCTGCGGACCCTGGTGCCGATCAATAAACTTAGCCACCAACCTCCCCAGGTTGTCCAACTGATCACCCGGAGGCAAACCGGAATGCTCCATGTGCCAAGTTACCGTATGCAAAGCATAAGCAGCTGCGCCGGTAGCCCTACCAAAAATGGAAAGCGGAAGGCGAGCCAACTTCTGTAAGCGGTGCTCCGCTTCCTGAAACCGTTTGCTCCAGTCAAGACCCGGAACCGTGTCCGAGTTAGTAAAAGGCACATTAAGCGCCACTGCTGTACGAGCTACCGACACTCCATGAATAACCTGCTGCCCCTCAGTACCCGTCTGAACCCCTATTGGCAAGAGCTCTACCTTGTCCAAATTCAAGCGTTGACCCGACGCCTTCGCAAACGTCTCCATGTGCTGGAGGAGTTCACTGTTGCGCAAATTCGGGGTCCTGGAAGGCCACCATTGGCAGAAACTCAGCCTTCGGTTGATACTGCGGTGGAAATTGTGGAGGAAATGGCCAAGGAGGGCAACAGCAGCAGCAGCAGCCAGCTAACCATGACCAACCGGACATGGGAGCGGATCCGCGGCTCTGCTGTCCTGAAGGACGGCACGTCAGAGTTCGGTGCCCTAGCGGACATCGTTTTCGTCATGGTGCCCGGCTCAGTTGAGGACGAGCGGCGGTTCTCAGCCATGAACTTCGTAAAGAACAAAGTCCGCAACCGGCTAGACCAGCACTTGCCGCAAGTGCTGCGCATGTTTTCGCAGCAGTTGTTCACCCTGCGCACGTTCCCCTACATGGCGGCGTTTGAGTCCTGGCTGAATGCCTCAAAGCGGGGCCGTTACCTCATGCGCTAAGGGGGGGGTTAGGTGCCAAGAGGCACATCCGTAACTGTACATAGCTGTATATAGTGCATTGGTGGTGAAGTGGACATACGAAGGAACGCGCAGCGCGCCACGTGAGACGCATATAAAACGCATACAAGGCAAGGAAAGGCGTGTGTTTGTGGGCTTGGCCTTTCCGTACTTTGGAATGCTGTCGTACTTATTATCGGGGGGGTCTGGGGGGGCGTAGCCCCCCCACCAAAATTTGTAAAGCGATAAACTGGCGTGAAGGCCCAAATTCTATCGCTCGCGGTGCGATGAAAAATTACCCCTCAAAAATGAAAAAAAAACACTGCCGTGTTCCCTTGGTGTTTCGCAATTCCTTTGCCTGGGCTTGCTGCATATGCCTGTCGTACGCACGTGGCAGGTGGAAGCCAACTGAGTTGAACGGTGTCAACGTCACGGCGCTCATCGCCACCCGCACCAAGGAGCAGCTGCTGGCGGATGCAGCAGCAGAGCGGACAGAGATGGGCAACGGCTTCGATTCTGGACAGGACGAGGAAGAAGAGGACGAGACTAGCTTAATGCGTACGGTGGAAAGCGCTTGCGAGCTGATTAAGAGGTGTGCAATTGCATTGAGGTTGTGAACAGGGAACTTCTGGATCTGCACAGCGGAAAGAGGCTCCCATGGTATCCAGCATCTCAGTCAGTTACTTGTGCTAGACGCTGTGTGCTGTGGTACATGGCCCGCAGGTTGCAATCAAAATCCACCGGCCCAAGGCTCCAGCAAGGCCTACAGTGTTTTGTAACACACAAGTACGACGAAAATCCTGTGACATGCATGATTGGCGTCATTGCAAGCGGTAAGGATGTGCTGCTGCACAGAATCGCAATGGTGTTTAATGGCAGATCAGTCGCGGTTTGTGTTCACGTGCAATACGGTACTGTTCTGGTTTTGGAATAGAAATGGACTCTGCCTCCATGGTTACCGCGCTTTGGTTCTTCCCCACAGGCGTGGCTGACTTGGGCGTCCACGAGCTGCACATACGCCTGGTCACCCCTGGCCCAACGCAATTGCTGGTTGTCGACCGAAAGGGTGTCATTGCACATGCGTCATCGGAGCTTGTTGCCACTCTAGTGGAGGGGTTGGGGGTGGTGGGCGCTGGGGCTGCCGCCGGTGCAAGGCCCTCAGGTGGCGCTACGGGTGCTATCAGTGCTGTTGGGGTGGCGGGTGCCATCAGCCGGGGCCCCGCACTGGGTGGCATTGCTGCCCGGGACTTGCTGGATAGCTACACGTTGACGGATTTCCTGCCACCGCCCTGGAAGGAAATGCATGTCAAGTTCATGAAGGTGAAGCCTGATGTGGCAGCTGCAGGATGTGGAATATGATATGCAGGAGGGTAGCATTAGGGCCAGTGTTAATCTCCTCCTAATATACGATAAAACTGCATTGACTTGCCCCTTTTTTCCATTTAAACTGCCCACAGGACATCACCGTCCTAAGCCTGCCCAATTGGAGTCCGTGGACGTGCCGCAAAACACCTCCAACCTCCTCCACCTCAGCGACCGCGGGCTCGTCCCCTTCCTCCCCTCCTCCCGGCCCTACTCTGGAGCTGCGCACTGCCTGCGGCAAGCCGCTCTTCATGCACGTATCGGTCTCCACGGTGGACATAGCGGGGGACCCGACACACGTCATACGGCTCGCAAAGTGAGTGTGGTAAAGGGGTGCCTATATATCGGGGCGGAAGCGCATGGAACGTGAATTTGCCATTCGTAAGCCACTGGCACTTGCCATTGAATGAATGACCGTTACAATGGTGCCCTAAAAGGGAACACGGGTGATGAACCCAACCCTACATTGCAAAAGAAACGGAACAAACCCTAAAAACAGTACCACAACGGGCCATTGCTGTTCTCAAATAGGCATGTATGGAGTGAGGATGGGTTGTAGCTTCTGTTCTGTGCAACAGAAGCTAGTGGTGAAGATTCCTTTTGCTTGGAACGAAGGCTGAGCTTGTTGTACACCGACTGCCACCAAAGGCATCGCCTATACCTGCTGCCTGCCGCACTTGCCAACGGTTCCGGCTTCCAGCCACCACCGGTCGCTTACCATGCTATGCCCGCCACCATTGTCATACAGGTCTTCCCTAGAGACTGCACTGGACGAACGGCGCATGCGACTGAGTGTTTCCCCGGAGGGTGTCATCACGGCCGCAAGCAAGGGAACCCCCACACAGCTGTTTGGGCTGGAGCCGCAGCAGGTGTGGGAGGGAGCAAGCTTTTTATGTGGGGTACATTCCAGCATGCCCTTGTGCATGGAAATGCATCGTACTAACCCTCATCCTCCCCATTCCTTGTGGCTGCAAAATTCAAGTTTATTGGACACAGCATCTCAGATGTTATCGAGGAGACATTGCTAGCACCTGGCGTAAAGAAGGCATCAACTACATCTTCAGCGCAACTACTAACCCAGCTCGTCAGCCGGTGAGCTGCGGTTGCTTCGCGTAATGTCTTCTGGTTATCCTTCCTAGCTGTTGTTGCATATGCGCAAAGGCCTTACGCTTCTGCGACAGTATGCTACTCTGGCGGTGTGCCCGAGTCGTGGCACAAGACTCTTTTGCCTCTTTGCTCTAGGATTACCAGAATCCTACCCCTCCTCTACCGCAGAGCGCTGTCCCAGCCTGGCTGCAGCTGGCGTGTGCGTGTGCTGGCGCCCGCTGCCGCCGCCCCCGCTGCCCTCGCCTCTGGCATGTTGGCGGAGCTGTCAGCAACGGCCCTGGCGAACATGACCAAGGACGCAGTCATGGTGGTGGGTGGGCGCTGGGGTGGGAGGGTGTGTAGGATTGAAGGTGAGGACTTGTGGTTACCGTTTGTGGTGATGCGGGGTATGGATTCTGTCCTTGGAAACCTCCTTCCCGTGTTAGTATGCAGTTGGCTGTCGTGCCCGCTTTCCTTACCACACTTCCTTTCCATGCTGCCATCTCTCATGGAACTTTCTGCTTCACCATCTCCCAGGTTCACGTGGAGCTGCCGCCGTACAGCCAAGGTGCTGCGGCCGAAGCGCCCGTCGTGTACGTGGACCTATGGCCGACTACCAGCCTCACAGCCGTCTTAGAGCTGAATGCCTCAGGGCGTGTAAGCTCGGTGCTTGAGGAGCGCACACGACCCGCGGGTCTGCTGTTTGGCGTGCCCACACAGTCGCTGGTTGGCAGCATGCTGAGCGGCCTGGTCACGCTGCCGCCTGGTCGCAGCAGCCCCAGTGAGCTGCTGTCCCTTCACGGCGCCAAGAAGAGCAGCCTCAAGGCGGACAACAAGGAGGCCAGCGTCAAGGTCGGTCCACTGCACGTGCTGCAGGCCGCCCACTCAGACGGGCGGCCGCTGGTCCTGGACGTGCAGATGGTGGGCAGGCCGGGACCCAACCAGCCTGTCACCGCCATACTGCGAGTGCATGCGGCGCCCATTAAGGGTAGGGTTGTGGCAACGGCGGCCGTGCCTGCTGTTAACACTGGACAGGCGCCGGCTCAGGGCATTCCCCTCTTAAGGAAGCTGACCCCAGAAGGAAGCATGTTCGCTGAGGACACCAGGCTGTCATTACCGCCGCCTAGTTTGCCTTCCTCCCCATGGGCAGGAACGGCGGCGATCTTTGACAGGGCCCGGACATCTGCACCTCTCCCCTCCCAGCCTTCACGGCTGTCACTGCCACCACCTGGCAAAGGCCACAGGGGGGCAGAGGTTCCACGACCTGAAAGGCCTGAAACACCCCAGTTGAACACGCCAAATTCTGATTCTGGCGAGACGGGGCCTGGCACAAAAGCGGTAACAAGTACTACTGATATTGCAGCGGAGTGTTCAGGGCAACCTACAGGCTCGGATGCCGTTGTTCAGGCAAATACGACCCATGGGTCGTTGCTAGAGGGTGTCTCTAATATGGCTGGATCAGAACAAGAGGAGGGAGGACATAACGGGGATGTGTACACAGTGGCGACTGTCTCAGCTGCAATTGCACCCTCGCCTGCTGACCTTCTTGCTATTATGGCTGAAGGACTCCCACAACCTGGGGTGGCAGCTGGCAAGGACGCCGTGGTGCAGCTGGTAGGGCGGTCAAGGCTTTCCGAGCTGGTCAAGTCGGTCACACAGGGTGGAGATGGAAAGGAAAGATGTGGCAGCATTAAGAGCAGTGGTGGCAGCGGAATCATGAGGCCTCCTCAGCCTTCTAGGGCGAGCAGTAGGTTTAAGGGCCCCATTGGTAGTGGTGGAGGCGGCAGCAATCGGGAAGGCGGACTTTTACTGGAGAAGAGCTCTGGCCTCGCAAAGCCCTCGCTGCCTGGAACACCAGCCGGGCCAAGTGGAGAGGACGACGTGTTGGAGCTGAGGAGTCTGTTGAGCCATGGGGGCGCGGCAATAGTTCAAGGTAAGATACAATTCCTAACCTAAGGATACACAAGTTGATGTCGAGGCTTGCATGGATTACAGAGGAAACTTTGTGTGATCCCAAACGGGCTGACTACTTCCTCCTTGCCATCATCATTCCTTTTTCCGCTCGTCCCTGCCTGCCTGTATTGTCGGTGGCTATCGACAGTTACCCCGTTTCCTGCCCTTGCTACAGACCTGCTCGTTAGCGGCTTCGATTTCTCACTTCCGGGCCGTAGTGAGGGAAGCGACAGCGAGCAAGATGAGGTGAGATGTCAACACTTGCTGCGGACGGGGGCTCCCTGTATACTGCACACACCGCTTGGGTGCATCATGCTAGCACCTGGCGCCCTGGCGAAGTGAAAGAAGCGTTTCATTCCTAGTGTACAACGTCTGCTTAATTCTTTAGGCATGTTTTCCAGTTGACCTGAGAGGGTTTAATGTGCCTTCGGCTGCTCCGTCAAAACAGGGCAAGGACAAGGCCAAGGAAACACAGGATTCTTTGCGCGTTTCTGTTTGGGTGGACAGCGAAGGTCCGTTGGAGGACGTTTTGGTTTCATACGGCTACCTGCTATGCCCATATTGTTTGGATGGGGGGAAACGTTGAGCTTCAAGCGGCGGGGGGTGGCGTACTTATAGCTGGGAAGGCTGCAAGGCCTTGACCATTGCACCCTGTACAATGCCGTGGTACAGGGCACTGTTACACGACAATGTTCCCTCTCTTCTACGAATACCGCAGGTGCATTCTTCCAGAACGTTGTCGGCATTGATGCCGAGGTGCGTCTGTTTTATTGGTTGTACCTTGCAAGAGTAATATTACCAATGCATGTTCTGACACCTTAGCCGAAGGGCATCCAACACTTACACCATCACCAACACTTACATCCCTTCCTGCGTAGCTGCATCTATTGCCTAACCTTTGAATCCCCGCTTAGCCCTCCCTGAGGCTCACCAAGCACGCCACAACGGCCACCATCCCATGTGTTACAACAGGGTGTCGACGGCAAGCATGTGGACGGCATTACCGCTGGCCACGGGTCTCTGGGCACCCCCATACGCACTGCTACCGCGGTGCACCGTGGCGGCCACCACCGGCCCACAGATGGAGCGGACGTGATGAAAGAGCCGCTGGGGTCCGGACACACGGGTCCGGAGGAGGTCCGTGCTGTGGACGATGATGCAGCCAGTGAGGGTGGGCAGAGCGCCATGTCAAGCCAGTCAGGTAGGTTTAGGAAATTCGGGAACGGCACCCATTTATTGGCAGCGAAGCTTGAAACGCTTGGGTTAGGCTTGTTTTTCATGGTTCACGCCATTTAGAGACTAGGTGGTTGGTGCCATTTACGCAATCCCCAATGATGGCGGCTGGACCTCCGAAAGGAATGAAGTCATTAATCTGTGTCCGTGAGGTTATGTTTTGATTCACCTCTTTGTCTGAGGAAAGGGGCGGAAGGGAAGGAGGGCCGCTGTGCCTGGGCAGCTTGGAAAACATGGCTCTTTAGCTGTGCCCGAGTCTGGCACTGTGGCAGCTCAGAAAGGTTAAACGGCCCGCCCCTGAAGTGCCTGTCAAGGAAGTCAGAGGGCCACTTGTAGCGATGTCGTAATTGGAACCGGCTACCATGGATAGGGGCTGCGTAACCAAGCTAACCCTCCCTTAATACACTTCGAGGCTGAGCTCGGCGTAACAATTATTGTTGTTGTCATTTAAGCATTCTGGCCCAGGCGCTTGTCTACCAGCATGCATTTATCATTGCACTGAACGGAAATGCTGTATTAAAAGGCGATAGCAATGAATCAAACCTGTCATCCAGCACTCGGTGACTTCCAACATGAGCCTCAGGTGCTGGTGGTGCGGAGTACAAGCGTGGCAAGAGGTTCCGCAAGCTGACCAAGCTGATGGACTCAAGCCAGGCGCAGCAGGTATTACTGCCGTGCAATTTGCGTGATGTCAGGTGCTCCGTACTGACGTTTGCAGCCGGAGCTTTGGACTTTAAGCTGGTAAATAGCAGTAAGGTGCTGCCGTATTGGCAGTGTCCTCATGGGCTCACCCTTGCAAGAATCATATTAGTGCAAGAGCGCCCGGGAGCCTGGGAACCTCAAACGCACAAAACGATAAAAGAATTTGCTTAACATAGCCTGCCTGAAACCAGTCCGAACTTCGATGCTTCACCGGTTTTTCCTGCCGTGCAGGTTCAGAACACCTTTCGCAAGCGTACCCTGGCAACAGTTGCGTTGTTGGCTAGCGTCCATGTCGTGTGCTTCGCGCTGAATATTACCGCCATCCAGTCACAGCGCACCTGTATGTTGCAGCTCAGCCGGGCCGGCCAGTCGCAGCACTACATGCACCAGGTAAGCTTTTCTGCCGTACGATTTCTGTGTGTCTTGGTCCTGAAATGCATGGTTGAATAAGTATGCGGTTATTTGAGGTATCTGTGTCATGTATCCAAGCAGTGCGACCAGAGTACCGAATCATGCTTTCATATACTGGCCACCGCTCCGTTTCTGCACCCTTCAATTTTCTACATACACACTTTGTAGGGAATGGGGCATGCGGTGGGGAAGAGACCCACTGCCCCTTCCCCACCACTGCAACCCATGCCTTCCCCTCGCCGGGACTGGGATGCTGCTTGAACACTCACAAGCCTTAGGATTGCCATAAGGATAAGGTTGTGTACAGTGCAGCTTGTTTGGGGCTTTGGCGCTCATGCCGTGCAGACAGGAATGTCTAAGGACAAAGGAAAGGTGGTGATGGAGCCCCGCACACCATGGGTGTGACAGGATGGCCCGTCCTTTCACACCAAGATGTTTGTCTGCGGCAAAGCAATGCTGGGGCATGAAGGATTAAACTGAAAGGCATTGTTGGACCAACAGAAGTGGTATCATACCGTACGGCAATATTCACTAGTACTGCGGTACGAAGCTGGTGAAAGCTATGACTGGGCCTGTATACATAGGCGCCTCCTGGAAGCCTACATGGAATTCTTCTGTATCTCTTGACTACACTTTGGGTCCAAAACGATACTACCCCCCTTGACAGGCAATTTTGCTCGTAGTGATTGTTATACCAGTTACTTCATATTACTTGGCCAAGTGAATGATTAACCAGCAGAACCCTACGAGGCCTATCAAAACTTCCACATCCTATTAAGCTAGCTATGCGAAGCAATACGGGTGAGCGTTTAAACCCTGAAACACAGACTGCCGATTTTAATTTAATATTTTTGCCTCTCCGTATATGCCTGAAATCTTCCTGATGCGAGTGAATATACCCTACGCGTTGAAAGGGTGCATATTGATTGACTAGGGCATCCCCTGTCTATATGCTCCTCACAGATCCTGACGGACGTTCGCTCTCTGGACGTGATCTCGAAGAAGAAGACAATCCCTTGGCTGTATACAGAGGCAGATGCACAGGTATATACATTGATATAGCAGGATCATTCCTGACATGTATGCACGGGACCTATATGCATTGAACATACCTCCACCATGACATTACAGGCAAGAAAGAGTCACCTCGCGCTCGTTCGCGATCTGGGACTTGACAGGCTTATTTTTTTCACATTTTTGGAAACATGCACACGCTACTTTGCTTTTGGAGATGTGGCATACATACACAAAACTAAACTGTGCAGACACAATAACTTAACGCCCCAACGCTGTTGCTGTATACAGACGTTTGTTAGCCGCATAGCAAGGGGTGCGGAGGAGGTCAAGGTAAGCCATGGAGTAGCTTATTACGGGGCACTAGGTTGCTACGACACTGGCCGGGCATTTGGATTATAGCTTTTGTTTGGTTGAAAGATGTTGTTCCATCATACATCTTCCTCTCCTTTTCTTTCCAAGCTATTTGGTTTCGAACGCCTTTGCAACCATGCTTTGCACCCTGTTTTATCTGTACGTAGGTCCGCCTGAATGAGATTATTAAGGCCTATCATAACCCGACCTCGCCGGTGATGGAGCTGTTCTTTTATGAAAATCGTTCGGTAAGTTCCGGTGTTCATCACGGGGCTCCAGAGCTGAAGAAGAAACCTGAACAGAGGTAGAGACAGTGTGTAGTTGAGTAGGAAGTGCAATAGATCCCAAGATCAAACATAAAGGAGCTCGGTATGGGGATTCCGAATCTGCTTTACGAATTTGGTTTGGAGTCACAATAGAGAAAATGAAGGGCTTGCAATGTTGGTTGCACGGCAGGGGTGAGGTGGGTAGGTCCGGAGCCTCAGCGGACGTTCTACGTGGAACGTCGGGACTTTCTTCACAGGCCCCAGGTTAGACTTCTGAAAGCTTTAGAGTAGTCCTTTCGTCAATCCTTAATCCTTATGCATATAACTAGTTAAAGCAACGAAAGGTACATTTTTCAGCTTCTCATGGGTCCGGTAGCACTTCACGCCTGGACAGTCGCCCAAATGGAACCGCCTTATTCCCAAAATAAGAATGAAACAACGTTTTGAGACATAAGTAGATGCGGAGGTCGCGAATGCGGCTAGTATGTGCCGCTAACCGTGTCACAAAGGTCGTGTGGGGGCTACAACTACCTAAATTACCTGCAGCACACCCACCCCGCGGAACAGCTGACGGAGGCGGCCGTGCAGCAGTACGCAATTAACAGGGAGGGCTTCCATGCGGTTCTTCAGCGCAGCACTCAAAGCAGCAGCGGCTGTGAAGGGCAATGCTTCGCGGCTTTGGTGGAAGGTGCTTCCGCAAGGCACCGACGAAGGCATCGGGGATAGCAGCAGCAGCGGATGTGGGGATGGAGTGGGAGATGCAGTGCAAGATAAAGCGGATGCAGGAAGTGGCACCGGGGGTAGTGGTCAAGGGCGTGACGTGACACGAGGAAGAGCCGGGGTCGGGGACGTGGCGGTGTCGCCATGTCGGTTGGTGAAGACGGTGGTGGCGGTGGTAGGGGACGTGACGAGCGCAAACAAAAGGGCCGCGGTGCTTCCTAGACGCCTGATACATGTCTGGATTCCCCATAATGGAGCCAAGAACATGATTACCTTTGCAGGACCCTAGTGCAACGTAGTGGCGTTTCTGCCCGTCTCCCCAGAGGGTTCTGGGTATTTGTTTTGCATGCTAAAGAGTCTAACGGCGTTTTTCCCGGGCGTTTTGGCGAAGTTCACAAGTTGTACGACATGCTTGTCGTACGACTGGGGTGGGTAGGTGGACCCGGGGCCTACCCTTTCAAAAAGCCATCATGGGGTTTATATAATTGATTTCAATACCCTTCTGGTAGAGATTTACTGTTATTTATTTCTAGCGTACCCATGGACGTAAACAACAGCTGCCTGCATCTGTTGCCGCTGTAGCTTTGGCGTTAGTCAAAATTTAATTGTTTCTTTTGTGAACGGCCGGGCACCCGTACGAAATTGATGTCATCCTTTATGTGTTTCTTGCGCTTAGGTTTGGAACGGGAACGAAGCCGACGGCTCGGATCAGTACACAAACCTGACAATCTGGGTAAGTGCTGCCCTACTTACTTGCGTCCCTTCATGGACCTGATGGGGCACCATTGCATCATAGCGTCATTGGGTATGCGTCTCTTGGAGGAAAAACTGAAGCCAAGGCAACCCAGGCAGGTATAGTTGACTCCCCTGTAATGCGCTGCAGGACTTCTCGACTCGGTTTTACACCATGGCTAAGAACATTGAGCAGTACTATGATGACTGGGCTCGGGGAGGCGTTTACATAGCTGACACGACCCCTGGACAGTTTCTGTTGAAGAGCGGACCTGACATTTACATGGCATCACGAAAGGTGAGGGCAGGGCTCAATTCTTGCGGCTAACTTGTTGTCCCTAGCTGTTATTGCTGTCAAACATGTAGGCCGTTCGCGGCCTCAATAAAACAGCATTGTTACTGGCGCTCCATTTTTCCACGTTGCAAAATAGTCACAAGTTTTGTTCCCGTGTTCGCCTTTCGCACAGATCATGGACGCCCTTCTGTACGTTGCAGTGGACAATGCGCGCTGGGTAAGTAACCGTGGTGAAGAGCTAGCAACGAGGGCTCCTCATATCCGGCGTGCTGGGCGGGTAGTAAAAGGGTAGCCATGAGAGCTCCCCATACACGCTGGATGTTGGCTACAGTGGAGCACTAGTCGTCACTGATTCTGCCAGTGGACTTCGCCACGTTGTACTGCCGCCCTGGCTATTGTCTGAATAGCCGGATGGCTTTATCGTATGTCATCTTGTGTTGCATGATGCTCACAGGAGCGCAAACGCCTAGGGTGTCATCCAGCCATGCAAAAGCTGCGCCGGTCTTCGAGAGGTGCTCCTTGCATGCGTCCCTCCAAACATGTAGGCGAACCTTTCCCTTGCTCCTGTAGGTGGAAGGATTGCAGTTTACATTCCTCGCGGTGGAGGGAGCCGCCATCAGCTGCCTATCCGCATTGTAAGTTTGGGGTCAAAGTCCGGGCAGGGGGCAGACAGCATCGATCTCGGTGGCTGACATGGGGGCTGAAGGGCAAAGCCGATTACACTGACTGGCTTGAAACGAGGTCCTCAGATTCTCGCTCGTAGCTGGTGTCTCGCGTTGTATATGGTGTCAGTGTCTTTTCAATTTGTTGCCATGGACAGGGCAGCTGGCCAGCAGACGGCTCTCCTCACTCCCAACGTGTTGCTTTCCCCCGTGCCGATTGCAGTTATCTGGTGTATCTTCTGCGTGCTGTAGCGGCGCAACGATACAAGCTGTACGGCATTTTCTTAGTCATACCCGTGGTAGGTGAGGGGTCATCAGAGAGCGCCGGTATGGCGGTATGCAGGCAGCGCAACGTGGTGCGAGTCCCCTATCCTAGGTGCTTATAACGTTGGCGGCAATTATAACGTTGACATCGGGAACTGCGCACTGTGTGTAAGGAACGGACGCAATCGGTTTTGTTGCATCCGTATATACCCCCGCAGGGTTTGACACGCGCTTTGGCATCCCAGAATACCAACCTTAACATGGACGTAAGTGAAAGGGTAGGGCAGAGGAGCGCATGGGCTAAGGTACTTTCCTAGAGGAAGCCGTACCTATACAAAACTGCTCATAACTCAGCTAGGAGACCCCACCTCCTCCGTGCATTTTCTGCTGGCAGCAAAATGGACCCTTCAATTTTAGCATTAACAGGAGCAATGCAGTTGTAGGGGCTCAGTCTATGTGGATGATCCTCATCACGAACATTATCTGTCACACTGTACGAGGAGGCTGTATCGGATGTGGCCACTACCAGGCAGAACCAATAGCAGCTGTTTTGATCCGGTCTTGTTCATCATCCTCATGATACATGCTCTCTTCTTCCCTTTATTGAACACAGGATGACGAAGATGAGGATGACGACGAAGACGAAGTGCCCACAGCACATCACGAAGCGCCTGAGGGGGAGGATGATGGCACAGGCGGCGCTCCTGCTGTACAAAAGCTCAAGCGTCGTGCTACCCTGAAGTTGGCCACAGGTCCCGACGGATCCGCTCCTTCCGCAGGGGGTTTAGGCAAGGACAAGTCGCTCCGCAGCCGCAACACAAGGGGCGGCGATACTGGGGGCGTAGACAGAATGCCCAGCCGTGGAGAGGCTCGTGATAAGCGCAACGGCGTGGGACTTGAACGTACTTTGACCGGAGAGTCTCTGGACGGCTCCTGGTGGGCTTCCCTGTTCAGTTGCTGCCAGTCCGGGCAAACCTGGCGTCAATTGGTCAGGTACGAATGGATAGCAGAACTCGGCTTCGACACTAAGAAGGGTAGACAGCCTAAATACGCTGTTCACCCATCCACTCCCCATACTTTCGGACATGAGTACCGTCACCTCTAGCATTGTGATGTTTTCCACGGTGCACGCACAAGGACAGCAGTTACACTACACGACTATTAGCAGACCCGGCATTAGGACGTTGACGTAGGCAAAGTCGTACATAGCCCCAGCAACAAGGATTTAGCATGGTTGCCTAGCCAAAATGCCTAGCCAAAATGTTGATGTCTGTAACGTGACGCATAATGTAAATTACCGTTTATTCATGTTTTCGGTTAGGGCTGAACCGTGCTGAAAACCGTACATGCCGTACAGCCCAATACTGGGCGTTCTGTTCTATTCTGTGCATGTGTCCCGTGAAGGCGGACAATTCGTTGCCCTATTTCGTGTCAGTACACCTTACTTAACACGATCGAGTATCGTTGCAATGTCACTGTGCAATGCGTAGTAGCAGTTGTGGGGATATACAACACCATGGATCTCATTAGGGCAGAAGCAGTGTATTTAAAGCATCGTCTCGTGCGCATGTGGGTCTATTAGTTGCAGTTGCACGTGATCATCCACCGTGACTAGCGATGCTTACCGCAGGTGGAGCCGCAGCACCGTCAGGCCACTGCCGCAAGCCAACACCAGCTGCACGCCAGCAGCCACCGTGTCGGCTGCTACGGTAGCAGGCGGCAAGCGAGCGCTCAAGTACAACTCCCATGAGACAGTCGTCATGACCATGCCCTTCATTATTTGGTCAATGTTGGTGGGTTCCTAACGTTCCCTTGTGCTGCTAGGTTGCCTCCTCAGGGGCCTTCCTTATGCGCCAACTGTCATCTGCACAGCAAAGCTCAATCCTTGCAGTATATATACTATTATTACGTGATGACGAACCAGTACAGACCCCGTGCTCTCTTACTATGTGACTCCAGTGGTAATTATTATCACGGTATATTGCTCTCCTATGCTGCAGGTCATTGCCATCTACTCGGCAGCGGCATTAATGATGAAGGTGAATAAATATCCAGCTGCCAGTACAAGTTGGCATGCCTGTTGGACACAAAGTTCTTAACCGAGAACATCCCGAACGGCAATCTCTCTTCGCTTTGCAGAACATTGTGGACGTCGTAGCGGTCCACTCGGTTTCTAACTATTTGTCTGCAAGTACGTATCGAACGGTACGTCATTGGGTGTTTTTCGTACAGCCTCTATCGATCTGAACCGACCATGAGCGGTTGCAGGTTGGGAAATACAAGCAAGGAAGGGCTGACATGCATTTTACAACGGAGTTCCGCAATGTTATGTGGTATGACCCGTTTGCATCTTCTCAGTTGCTTTGGTTGTGCATACCTGCCACACATAAACCACCCGCTGAAACCATTACGCCCCCGAACCCGATTGCGACCCTACCCTTGTCGACAGGTGTTCTTCTGCCAGGTAAGCGCTTTTCATACCGTCTTTGCTTGTCAGTTGCGATACCAGGTTTGATGTGCCAAGTGTGTTATAAGGGAGTACGCGGTTGTATGGGTATCGCCGCTTCTGCCTATGTTTCCGGCCGTCCAGTGCCAGAGCGCTCCTGGACTGGTAAACCACCCAGGAAGGATGCACGTGCACTTTGCTGGCGCAGGAAGTTGCTACCGTGGAGGACCCCTCGCAGCTGCTGGAAAAACGTGCAACCCTGTTCTCCGTCATGAAACTTGTCAAGGACGCCTGGTACACGCTGCAGCTGGGAGAGAATGCCTACAGAGCAGCCGGTGGGTGGATGGCTTGGGCTGTTGGTCCGCACAGTGTGGATACCTCAAATTGCAACAAGTCTGAAACCAGCGGCCGCTCGGCACCCTTGCCATGTTTCTTCTAGAAGTTTTAAGCACCTAGGGGTTGTAGCGTCCTAAGCAAAACCTAACAATACCGCAACCAACAGGACCTGACACGGAGAGGTTCCCGATGGTGAAGACTGGACTAGTGTACGCCTCGCCAGCCATAACCGATCTGTTCTACGGCACCGGTACCTGCCTGCGCACTGGGGTGAGTGGCAGAGCTATACGCTCATCTGTGCCTAGCGTCAAAGCTTATGGAAGATGAGTGCATGTGTTGGGTGCACCTCTACACTACCAACCTACATGGTGTGCACAAGCATTGTCCACACGAACTCAAAAATACACCTTACTGCCTGCGTCCAGGCAGAAGTATTGGGTATCCGCCTTTGCCGCAGACGTGTTCACTCATATTCACATATTCACTGCTGTAGCCGTTGGCATGTTTCTGCCCCTGCGGTCGCATGGTATGTGGAAATTCGCATAAATTGTGCTCTCTCGGAATCCTACCCATCGCAACCGCTCTCTCGGAATCCTACCCATCGCAACCACTCTCCCGGAATCCTACCCATCGCAACCGCTCTCTCGGAATCCTACCCATCGCAACCGCGCCGTACAGGACAACCTGCCCTGCCCGAATCATGACTACCGTTTCTACCACTTGACCCGCTCCGGTCTAGACAGCATGATGCAACAGTTCATCCTCAGCCTCTCAGCGATGGCCACCAACCAGAGCCTGACACCGGAGGGGCTGCAGGATGGTGAGTGGCTGGGTGGAATATGGAAGCCACCATTTGCTAGTGAGGAGCAAGCCTCCATGCAGGTCGTACAACTATTTTTCGCCTTTTAAGTTGGCTGTATGTTGGGCTGCTTATGATATATGAAACCAGCTTGGTGGCGGGGAACAAACAAACCTCGTCATGTATGGCGCGGCTTTGTGGTCTTTCCGTATCTTGTTGACTCGCTATGTACTCTGTGCCCCATACATGCATGTAGACCACTTCGACTACGTCTACAGTGTCGGTTCCAAGGTGCGCAAAACCATGAAACCCAGGCCTAAATCAACTACAATTAATTCGAGCACAAAGTAATGCGGGCATGCTTGCGGGTTCCATTCACTGATACAGTACCAAGCCCGACAAGCCTTTGCTCGCCTTTCCTTACACGCGCAGGACCTCCTGGGTGGAACTATGCAACTCGCCCATGCTCATTACAGGATCATTCTGGACCTCTTTTCAGGTGAGTTCAGCCCCTTGGTAATTGAACTCCTTGCAAGGCACATGGTCCATGACGGCCCTCGCCTACAATTTTGCACAATGCCTGCCAGCATGCGTCTACAGCCGTTTCATAGCTGTTTGTGTCCTATAATTACCCGGGACAAACGTTCGCCTTCATGCCCATTTTAACGCACGCTTGCGTATAACTACTGATGATTGCTTGCGTATAACTACTGGGGAAACATTTGGGGAAACATTTGCTAAGCTGGCACGCCTACGTGTCCCACGTAACTGCTCTCACCCAAAACCACGCAGACATCATGGTTCTCCACATCGTGTTGTTCCTGATGCTGTGGGTGGTGTTCATCTGCTTCCTGGTGTTCCTGCTCAACCCACTCATCAAGCGAACAACAAAGGAGGTGAGGACAGGTTCTGTAGCGTATCCAATCATGCATTGCCAAAATCCACAGCTGTGTGTTTGCTTGGGTCACTGGCACCGCTTGCTTGGGCTCGCTCATCCACTGTTCCCGCTGCACGTGACCCTCCCTCTACCTACAACCCGCGTGCGTATTGCCTGTGAACCGCCTGCAGCGGCGGCGCATCGCTGAGTTGATGAGCCAGCTGCCCCTGGAGCTGGATGTGGAGAAGCTGGTGGCGAGGGCGCTGGGAACAGCAACAGCTAACACCAACACGGCGCCAGGCGGGGGCCCAGGAGGAGGCGGTGGTAATGGTGGGCCAGGAGGAGGGACCGGAGGACCCCCGGACCGCACCCACAGCTACATTGACTTGGGCGACGAGTGTAAGTCTGTCTTACACAAGTGCTTATCCTTTTTTTGCACAACGCACACATGCGTAGTGAGCGATTCCATTAACGCTTACTCTGTCTAACTTAGCATGGTGTATGTTTCATATATGCTAAGCTGTTTGGCAGGATAGCGATGTGGCAGAAGCATAATGTTATACTCATCATTCCATTACCGTACGTTTCAGATATGCATTCACCCCTTTCTTGCTCTCGACCCAAAACAGCTGTCCATGCGGGTACTGAAGCAGAGTCCGCGATGAAGTGGAAGGCGATTATCAGGTGGGACAGTGTTCGGGTGATCAGACAAGTCAACACCTGCGCTGCCCCATGCAATGGCTATCTCCCGGTTCTGCCTGAGATTTCCTTGTCCCGGCACTGCTTTATTCGCTGTTTATCTAGGCCCTTTGCTAGGATATGGTGGCCCTGAAGTGGCTTTTGGCCTTCCCGTGTACCTGAGGAGGAAAAAATCGAAACTTGACCTTTTGTAGGGCTGCAAGCTCGCTCAGTGGCAAGATCCCGCAGAGCAGCATCACGCACCGAAGGTCTTCGTTTCTGGCAATCCAAAACACAACATCACACCTACCGTAAGTGAAGTACCTGAATCTCAACCGATGGAGCCAGAATTTTGTGACAATGGAGTATCTCATTTCACGGGTGCTTCCTTTCTGCCATGCAAGAAGCTATCTAATAATTATAATAAGGTGCGTTCCTAATCACCATTGAATGAAGAGCTTCTAATGCGTATGTACGTTTTGAATGTGGTATGGGAAGAAACAAGAAGCAACATGTTTATTCGGGGACGCATGCTCTGTGAATATTCGCATGCACATGGATCGGACACATGGATCCGTAAATTGCATATTGGAAGCATCGTGCGATTGTAAGCAAGCAAGCGTGAGAGTTGCAGTTGAGCGGAGACTCGTGGGGCAAAGTATGTGGGACATGTCATGTACGGCAGCGGCGAGGTTAATAATGTTATTTAAAGGTTATCATGGGGATGTCTAGATAAAAGTATCCTAGTATGTATTAACGAGGCTTTCTGTTTTATTAGCAAACGTGCATGCACGATGCCTAATGAATGGTATGCCTATGCCTCGCTGTATGCCACGCCTAACTGTACATGCTCTTCTTTTGCACACATACGTTGCACGACGCGGGCTGCAATACACCAAGATGTCTTTACGTTTAGTGTTTGCTAGCTATGATGACAAGACAGGCTACCGCTCCACCAACAGGTGGGCTCAGTGTGACGTGTTTTTCACATTAACAACAACACTTAGTGTGTACCGCACCAAAGGTCATGTCGTTCGCGTGTGTCCCCATACGTGTGGTTTGCCCCAGCCTTCGTTGGGCTCGGTTGGCTAACCGGCTGAGATTGGAGGTGGGTAATGTGAATGTATGGTGTCAAGGATGAATTTTACGTGGCAAATGGCCCGCCTTTCCTTTTCAATTACGGCCTTACGTGTTGGCGCTTGGGTCAACCTAATCAACAGCTACGGGCTAGCCTACCCTACTACTGCATCAACTAGTCTAAGTGCGTGTACACATTGCGTTTGTGTTCTAAACGTGTTTACCCTATGCAAGCGTCATATGAGCACGAATGGTCTACCTGCTGTATCACTAGGCATTGGGACATGCGGAAGGTGCCCCATACCGCCGGTGCCTTAATATACATAGCGGGTCTTGAGCAAACGTTGTCGTGTTTGCGCAAGTAACTTTGATCCGTCGTGAGCACTTAGAACGTAGCGCTTGTATGCGCGGTACCATGTTGTCGTACTATGCCTGACTGAGGGAGAAACGGTGAACGGGAAGTTATGATGGGAGGATTGGGGCGTAAGTGTGGTCTGTAACTTGGCTAATTCCACAGTGCACGTTGCCATGCTCGTACGTGGCAAAGCGACTACATGAAGGACAAGTTTGCAAAGACCCCTACGGCCCAGGAGCCAGGGGCTTTACTGAAGTAATGAGCTATTGAGTTGACTTTCACCGGACACCCACCGTGAATTCTCCATACGCCCCAACGTTACCGCCTACCCCATGGAAAGTAACACACTACCCAATGCAACAGACATCTCCAAATCCAGCAAAGTAAAACCCTGACTGAACAGATTGTGTGGCCTGCCCACGTGAAGGAGTAGGAGAAAGCTTAATTTCGTTAACTGATCTGCCTCCGTCAGCCCGCTTCAGCCCAGTCCCACCCACCCGGCCCCACCCCACCCGCGCACCCACGTGTCAGCTCGCCGGCACGCGGTGACCATCTCCATGGCATGCAGTTCGCCCCGCAGCAGCGCCGCCCCCAGCCGCTTCGGTGTGCGGCCGCTGCTGCGGGCCACCGCCGTCTGCCAGCTGCTGCTGCTGCTGCTGGGCGCAGCAGGGGCAGGGGGCGGGGGCTGCGGTGACGTCTGCCGGCTGCTGCTGCTGCTCAGGCTGCGAAGCAGCTGACGGAGCCTGCTGAGGAGTCGCCTGTATTGTAAGTTGGGGTAGCGGCGCTGATGTGCGCTGCTGCGGCTGTTGCTGCTGCTGGGTCGGCTGCAGGTGCGGGAGGGGTTGCTGCGGGGCCCTAGCGGGTTCCACCACCACCACCACCACCACCACCACCACCACCACCACCACCACCACCACCACCACCACCACCACCACGTCCACCTCAGCCGCCTGCTGCTTGGCACCTGCCCCCGAGTCCAGCGCCGCCTGCTCCGGCAGCACCGCGAACGAGTGCAGGGAGGGAGGGCGGGCAGGGAACCAAGCAGTTGCTGCGGCGAGCCGGAGGGCAAGCCGTGGACCACCAGCTTGTGGGGAGGTAAGGTAGGCGGGAACAGGAAGTTGGCAGCGATGGTGAGGAAGGGAGGTGGGGAGGAGGCGGGTGCAGGGTGAGAGAAATGGAGGTGGTTACGTCACCCGTCGCGACGGTTCCTCTCCCGAGGCTTTGCCAACGCGGCCGTGTCCTCATGGGTGTTGCTGCGGTTGCTGAGGGTCGGCTGACTGCACTCCGTCTCGGACCAACAGCTCCCATACCGGTGTACAACCTCCTTTGCCCAGCCTTGTCGCACGCTTACCTTCAACCACATTGCCCCACCCACCCACCACCTGCTGCACGCACAGCTGCGGGGGAGCCCCCCCATTCCTGCGCTCGGGGCGCACGGGGAGGGCGGTCGGCGCTGCGGCAGCTGCTGCGGTGGTGGCACCGGTAGCTGGGGTAAGCAGTCGCTGCGCAAGGGGTGGTGGCGGCTGCGCTTGCGGCCGCACCTGGGCACCGCCCCGCACCTGCAGGACCCCGAGGAGGGGGAGGGGAGGAGGCGTCACCGGTACCGGCAGTGGCGCCGTGCGCATGCAGGGTGGGGCCTTGCAAGCGGTCTGCAGTGCTAGCCGGTGGCGGTGTCTGCGGGGGCGGCGAGGGGTACAGCAACAGAGGTGTGCATGGGGGTAAGCCCGGTGCTTGCTGTTTCCCACACGCCCCGGCCTCCGGACCTGGCGTGTGCTCGATGCCGCCGCTGCTGGCCGGAGGGGTTGTCCGCTGGCCCTGCTGATTAGCAGGTGGGACAGCGGGGGTTGCTTGCACGCCCGAGGGCCAAAGCCACAAACCTCCAAACGCACACGCAGCCCATGACAAGGTGGCGATGGCGTCCTCTTGGGGCCGCATCCTGCAAGCGCTGGCGTCCCCACCCCTGCGGTGTGTCCCCTCGTGAACACAAGCACCCTACGGCGCAGTTCCAAGCCCCTCAACCCGCGTTTCCGTACTCCATTGCTGCTTACCTCCCGCCCAAGATCCCGCCTGCCGCGCAAGGCTCCTTCCCTGCCGCAACCTTGGGCTGCAGCCCGCAATCCAGCCTGCAAGGGGCACGTAAGAGGAGCGAGCGGGGTGGGAAGATAGACGCCAGGGAGGGGGAGGTGCGGAAGACCATGCCCGGCAGGAGTGAACACACTCCTCGTGTCGCATGGGGCCTCGGAACGCTAGTCTGCCGCTGTAAGGGAGCCGCGTGCTGCTGGCGCATGCGGCTACCTTTGCATGACCGCTCCCCCCTACCGACTCCTCCTCTACCGCCAACACAGCCCCCGCCCACACGCCCCCCACTTCCCCCTCTCCTCTACGCCTCCTCCGGCTTAGCGACAGCCCCTGAGTGCACATACCATGCTACCCACGCACTCCACACACGCATCCGCCCCGCACCTGCAGGGCCCCGAGAGGGCAGGAGGAGGAGGAGGGCAGTGTCGGGGGTTTAGGGCAGGGCGGAGGTTGCTGCCAGGTACGGGAGGGAGACCAGATTGGAATGGGAGGTATGCGCGCGGGGGCAGGCGAGGGCGCTCTTACCCTCCCCCCTCCCTACACCCCGACGACAACCTCCTCTCCGGCAGCAAGCAGCGCCCACGCACGGCCGCAGGGTACGTACGGCGGGTATGGCAGGCAGCAGGGACTGCATCTAGCTGGGGAGGGGGGAAGGCGCGGGAGCGAGCTGAGAGAGGGGGCGGGTGCTGGTAGGCAAGAAGGGGTTGACGAACTAAGCGGCCCATCATCCCCTCTTATTGCAGCACAACGCAAGAAAGGCTGGCAGTGACGTTCGAGTGCGAAGGCGTTTTGATTTCCGGAGGTGAAACCTAGCAGGAAAAACCTAGCAGGACGGGGGGACAAAAAGAGCGGCACTAGGAGTGACGACTGCGCGCAGGGGCAGGTGGGCGGGGGGCTTGTATATGCCCTGGCCTCCCTTCCCCGTCTCCTACCCCACCTGGCCTACAGCTTGCTCCCCGGGGCAGTGTTGCAGCGACCGCTGGGCAGGTGGGGCTGCAAGGAGGGGAGCGGGGAGCAGAAAGGGCGGATGACAGTAGTAGGCGGGGGCAAGGCAGGTCAGGGGAAGAGGTAGGCGGCTTCCTCCGTCCCCCTGGGATAGCGCAACACAAGCAGTGGCGCACCAGTCGCAAGGCATCACAGTCAGCGGTGGTGGCCGCAGCACTGCACTCCCGCCCCCCGTGTCACCTGCCGCTCTGCCTCCACTCCGGCTCACCTAGTACATTCCGCCTCGCCGCAGAGGCGCCATCCGTATCGTCCTTGTGTGATAATGTGTTTCTGGACATAACCGCAGTAGAATCGCTACATAAAAAACCGGACCGGCCCATTTCCGAGGGAGCATTTCAAGCCATGTCGATGGATTACTTCGAATACTGTGCACCTATAATGTGTATCTCAGCGCCTGCTGTTTTGGAGTACTCGGAAAGCGCAAACCATTCGCGGGCGTTCATTGCTAGGGTGTTGCGTACAGTACGGTCGCTTTATTACGCACAGCTCATACCACAAAAGCGCACAGCTAATCGTGTGAAGGTGCAATGTATGCACTGACTTGTTCTTAAGTGGAGCCATTTACCGTGACGTATCTTTTCTACTTCGGCGTTGACCAAGTTATGGTAGCTCATATCTTTCCATGTAATCAAAAGATCTAGTATACAACACGTATTTGATTAAAGCTTACTCACTTTGTTGGAAACTCTTCCTGCACCGCTCGGGAGAATGCCAATCCAAGCCGCATGCCTGCCTTCAGCAGCTTGAGCAGCAGTTGGCCGCGCTCCTGCACAGCCGCGTTTTTGGCCGTAATCTATTCCCTAAGGAAAGGAGCCTGCGTAATAAGATAGCGGATGAGAAAGCGCTACCGGTACCTGACCACCCTACTGTGCTGATGGCCTTCAATTTCCACAGCCGTGCCGGCTCCCGGACTAGGCCAGGGGGCTGACCTTGAAGACAAAGGTATAGGCCAAAATGTGGGGAGGTGTTGGAGGGGTAACGGCCCCCACATGTCGTGTGTTCCCACCGGTAGGGCTGTCTTGCCTCACCTCACCGGGTGCTCCACTGACGCTGATGCCGGTGTGGAGCCCCTCTCAATTCCGGCGCTTTTGCACACTGCTGCTGCTGCTGCTGCCAGCGGTCGTCGTATGGCCACAGGTGGCTTACTGCTGCTGCTCATGCTGCTGTGGCTGGTGCTGTGGCTGGTGGTGGTAACGGTGCTGCCGCTTCCCCCTTCGGCCATCGGCCTGCCGCACCGGTAGTACCAACCGACTTCTCGGCTGCTACTGCTGCTTCAGAGGGCGGCTGGGGAGGCGGGGGAGGAGAGCAGCGGAGTGGTGCGAGGGTGGGTGGCGGCGCGGGTGCTGAGCCCGGCCAGCTGCCCCATAACTGCTCCCGTGCCGCCGCCCTTGCAGCAACCGCCTAGCCCCGCACAGCCACCTTGTGCACCGGTGGGAGGGGGGAGGTCAACGACCATACCAAACCATAGGAAACCACATGTTAGGGCAAAACAATGGGGGTAGGAGGCGGCAGGGTGCCACAAGACAAAGGGATGGTTAGTATTCCCTACCAATACCGAGTCTGATGAACTGTTGACTAAAGGGGGAGGGGGAGTGGGGAGCGGAAGCCACAACTAGGTGGGGGAGTGGGGAACCTTACTGTTACTTCGGAGGAGCGAGGTCTGAGGGTTGTTGAGGCTGGAGGTGGAGGTTGTCGAGAGGGTTACGGCTGTCGTCCCGCCCTGTGACCCGGACCTCCCCTGTCCCTTTGCCCTCTCTCCCCTCCCGCTCGTCCGCTTGTTTGCTAGCATCATTAAACACCTTGGAATTCTTCTTTCCCCCTCCTCAACCCCTCTCCCGACCCCCTCTCCCCCCCCACCGACCCTGCCCCCCGCGCAGCACGTGCCCTCCCTCTACGCCGCCATCCGCACCCGCGCGCTCACAAACCACCCGCATCCTCCATGCCTCCTGTTGTCTCCCCGCACCTCATTACCCGCCCACACCCACACCTCCCTCCCAGCCCCAGGACTTGCGGCAGCAGCAGCAGCAGCAGGGCCGGTAGTGCAGTGGCTGGTAGCAGTGCGGCAGGCGGCGGGTGTGGTGTCCTGTTTAGGATGCTGGAGCTGCGGCCCTTGTCGGAAGCGGGTGACGGCAGGGGCGGCGGCGCGGCTGGGAAGGGGAGGGGACGCGGCGGGCGCAGTTCGGGCAGTGGTCAAGGAGGGGGGGAGGGAGAGGTGGCAGGGTGCGCTGAGGCACACGTGGCGGGCGGCTCCATACATTTGGAAGCTGCGGTTGGACATGCAGGTGGGGAGGGGGGGGAGGGGGATTTGGAGGTGGTACGCCACCAGGTGAAACACACACGTGTCTGTTGCAGTGCTGTTGCCGCCCGCTTTCCGCCCAACACACCGTCTCACAGCACTTACCCTTTCGGACACCCTCCTTACCGCTTCTCCCACGTTTGCACCTGCTGTCCCCCCCCTGTTCCTGTTCATCCCAATCGCAGGCACTATCCCTCACCCTCGCCTTGCTGGCCCCCACCGGTCGGGGAGGAGGCGGAGGCCCCGGGGGTCCCCTGGTGGCGCCCGCCGCCGCAGCAACAGGAGCAGCAGCACCCCTGCCGCCCCCCTCCAGCTGCTGCCCCGGCCGGCTGCTGGCTCTCCCGCCGCGCACCTACCTGTCCGCCGCGACGCTGGTGGTGCTGCCGGCGACCATCATTGACCACTGGCTGCTGCAGTTACGGATAGGGGAGCGAGGGACGGGGGCGGGAGGGAGGGAGGTCAGGGGGGAGGAGGGAGCGGCTGTAGGTGTAGGTGGAGGAGAGGTGTAGTGCGCTAGTGCTGGTGGGTGGGTGGTGGTGCTGAGGGTGCTGAAGCTAGCTGAGGAGTGGGGAGGGGCACTGGGTGGGCCCAGTCAGACAGGCAGTCGGGTAGCAGGAGTCATGAAGTGGCTGCCCTCCCTGCACCCTCTCCTCCGCTGGCTACGTGTACCTCCCGCAGCGCAGGTGGGAGGTGGGGGGGGAGCACACACCCTCGGGGCCCTTACCCTCTTCCCGCCACCATGATTACAGGGCACAGGGCGCTGCTGAGCTGTAGGAAAAGGGAAACGGGTGTTTTGCCACGGTTCTATTTTGTCATTTTGTTTGGAAGTTGGTTGACCCCTTACGCGTCCCCCTTCCCCCCGGCAGGTGGCGTGCCCGCTGAGGGCGGGGCGGCGCTGGGTGATGACGGGTGAGGGGCGGGGGGGGGAGGGGGAGGTGGGGGCGAGGGCTTGGAGACAGCGAGGAGGGTGGAGGGGAGGGTGGAGAGTGCGTTGTCGTCTGGAGAGCGTGAACTGGGGTAAGAAGGATGTCGGGGGTCATGAGAGCGAGCATGTGGAGGAGGGAGGTGCGGGATGGGAGAGGGGCCAAGGTGTTCAGGTTGCTTCCGTTAGCTGTGTTGGGTACAACTGGGCGAAGGCGTCTCCTCCACACCTGACCCCTCCCTTCCCCCCGCAACACCCCCAGGCACTCCCACCCCCGCCACCACCGGCAGCAGCGCCGCCCACCTGCAGCCCCTGCTCGCCTTCCTGCACCACTCGCCGTACGGCACCCACTCGGGCACATGGAGGGCTGTCGTATAGCGGCCCCTGGAGGAGTGCCGACCCGAGGGCAGGAGGCGGCTCATGGAGCTGCTGACGCAATGCATGGTACGGTAGGTAGGGTGTGGGAGGGTGTGGGGTGGGTTGGTGAGGTGTACGGCATGAGATGTGTGTACGACATGGGAACGGGAGGAGGTTGCGTAAAAGAGCTTCGGAAGTCAAAGGGGCAAGAGGGTCCGCTTGCGGCAATCCTCCGCCCTCATGCCCTCCCTGCCCCTCCCTTCACCTTGCCCCATGCAGGCCGACTTGGTGCTGCTGCCCGGACGGGTCCGCCGCGTCACACTGCTGGACTGCGAACCGCAATACGCGCTGTCGTACAACGCACCAGTGGACGTACGGCAGGAGAATGAGACCAAGGACTGCTGCATGCTGTCCCTGCCGCCGTCGTAGGCGCTTTGCTGCACGCTGCATGGGGCGGTGTGTGTGTCTGCGGGGGTTGAGGGGTTGCTGCGCACTGTGCGGAGGGAAGGTGGTGCCTGTCGGGCCTGTGGTGCCTGTGGGGTGTTGCTGTGTTGTCCAGGCGGGGTGTGCCCAGGTGGTGGGGCGCATTCGGGCTGGTGGCGGTTCTGTACGTGTGGGGGTCTCGGTCCGCGTGGGACACGACCCGCATGTCCCTGGGCTGCCGGCATGCGGCCGCTGGGTGCGGTGGCGCTGCAGTGGGAGTGTGCTGCTTGGCTGCCTGTTTGGTTGGAAAGACTGATTGGTCCCCGCACGTAACGTAGCGACGTAGCGGAAACCGAGGTTCCTGCGTTTCATGTGCAACCGTAGGTACCCGCCCTAACTACGACGAAGCATGCTCAGACTGGTTCGGCCTGCTAAGGCCTGGGCGGGCCGTTTCATTGCATGGGATGGGATGGGCGACATGGGGGAGTCAGTGCAGCATTCTTGCTACCGTACCTTCGGGTGATCATCGCGCAGCCCCATTAGATGGAATTATTTTTCAAGCTCGCGCAGGGGTGTCAGGAATTATTTTTCAGCTTCGCGCAGCTCATGTCCACCACTGCATTTTGACTGTAAGAACCCATCCATGTAAGCCCAGATCGCCAAGACAGCTTTACAAATACCGATATGTGTTCCATGGGTCATACTAGCATGCAGCCCGGGGCTGGGCAGCGGATCTGATGGGGTGCTGGGGCATGTTGGGGGTGCGGGGAAGGGTCCCGAGGGGTTTCCCCAGTTTCGCGCAGCCCTCTCAGCAATTATTTAACTTTGCGCGAAACTGCGCATTTTCCGAAATAATTATTTATTTTTGCGCGATGATGGGGGAGTCAGTGCAGCATTCTTGCTATACAATGCTATGAATCCAGAGAGAACACTCTCACAGTCATGGGGAACTAGGAGGGGAGGGGATCAGGCGGCCACCAAAACACAACCCTTCCACCCTGCCGAGGCCCAGCCCCGGGGTGTGACAGGACCTACACAAGCGAACGAGGGAACACGGACCCAATAATTAACAACCACCTCGGTTTCCGCAGACGACCAGGGGGATTAGGTGTACGTAATTCCCAATCACGATACAAACACTGGCGGCCTCTCGACAGTGAAAACGCATCACCGAGCGCCCCACCGCGGCCCCCGTCCAGCAGCCATAGCCTCGCGGGCGACACAACAGTCCCAGCCGGCGCACCCAACACCTCCTACCACCCAACATTCCAACACCGCGCGGACCAGCCTCGACTGCACCTTCGAGGACCTGTACGACATGTCCTGCTTATCCTATCCTATAACCTTATTATCACAACGGCTTAGCAAATTCGGGCTTTGCCCACCCAAATTGGTAATCACCACCACGACCTAGAAATAACCTGGACAATACCAAAGCCTTGAGGCCGTATTGCTGCAGGGCAAGAGCGCCCGTCGCCAGGCGCTATGCAACGTGTATGGGCACACGGCCCAATATATGTCTACTAATGATCGCTCGCTTTTGGCATTAATAATAAGACCACCCTGCTGCAACACGCGATCCAGCTCGACCCGCTGCTGTTATACACCCCTGATATGTACAACGCCACTGACGCCTCTTCCGCCTGACCGGCATCTCCCCTGCCCGCCCAGCACCACGTGGTGTGGGCCCCTCCTCCCTCTCCTCCCCCTGCTCCTTCATGCCCGGCTGCCCACAGCTGCGGCCGCGCAAGGGACTATGTAGAACCCCTCCTGTCCGCCTTCCCCTCCCTGGCTTTCTTCTTCTTCCTATCATCCTTCCTGTTCTTCTTCTTCTGGTCCTTGGTCTTCTTCTCCTCCTCCCTCTCCTCGCCCTGCTGCTGCGTCGCCTGTATCACCGGGTAAGGGCGGAGGTTAGCGTGGCTAACCGCCACGACACAGTACACCTGACACGTACACCTGACACGTACACCTGACAAGACATGCGCGTGCCCAGACTGCATGTCACCGCACGGCGCCGAACAGCCCCCAAGGCGGGTGAGGGCGTCAGCAGGGCGCCCCAGGCAGCCGGAGCAGCACAGGCTGAGAAGCGGCACACATGGCCTCCCTGTCAGCCGCCCCCATCGCTGCCCAGCTCCCCAGATAGCCCTACACGCTACAACTGCACTGCTCCCCACCGCACGCAACAGAGTGCACCCATCTACGCCAAGAGACACTTTCCCTCCGCGTCCTGAGCGCCAGACACGGGGCCACGCAACTGCGTCCCCTCCACCCCCGCTCCCTGCTAATGAACCCCGCCCCGCCTCCTCCCCTCCCCCCCTCGCAGTCCCCGCACCTCCTTCTCCTCCGTCCCTTCCGCCTCCATGTGCCAGCGGAGGACCATGTCGCCGCCGCGTTCCTCGCCCGTCTTCACCAGCTGGGGGCACCTGCAGCAGCAGGGTGCAGCAGCAGCAGCAGCACCGGGAAGCGAAGCGTTGGCGGGTGGGGAGAGGTGCACAGCGGGCTGGCCTGCTGCCCCCCTCCCATGCTGCTAGCGCGGGGGAGCGGCCAGAAGGTCCCGGCATCCACCTGTCCAGGGCCGTACACCCTGCCCCTCTCCCCCGCCCGCCGCCCCGCAGCACAGCGCTCCCTACCTACCTGCTCCTGGCGTTCCGGAGGTACTGCCGCCAGATGGGGGTGCGCTTGGAGGAGCGGTACAGCCTGGGGGCCGGGGGGGTGGGGGCAGGTGGCGGCGGCGGGTCAGCACAGCGCGGGCAGGTGGCTCGGCCGTCCCAGCTCCCTCCAACCCCCCCGGTCCTGCCCCCCCCCGGTCCACCGCTCCTCCCGTAAGCCCCACCTCCTGTCCAGCTGCGGGCTGACCTCGGGGTCCGCCTCCAGCACCCGGGCCGCCTCAGCCAGCGTGCCCTGCATGGGTGCGGGGAGGGGGACGCAGGGGAGCCGAGAGGGGATGTGGCCGCCCAGGGCGCCCTGACGCAGCACGCCGCCGCATCGCCACCCGTGCCACCTCACCTTGTGACCCGGTAGAGCCAGATAGGCGCGCTTGAGCAGACCCTGCAGCAGCAGCAGCAGCAGCGGTGAGTGCGTGCTCCCGCCAGCAGGGCTCAGGGGCGCGGCGGGCCAGCGATCCAGCGATCCAGCAGCAACCCAACACACAGCTCTTCGCAACCGGGTCCAAAGCCCCCAGCGCGCACCCAGCCCCGCCCCCCCGGCCCCCAGCGGCGCTCACCTTGTAATCCACGCTGGCCGCCCGGCGCCTGGGATGGTCCTCTGGGTAGGGGAAGTGGGGGAGGGGAAGAGGCGGGGACCGCATTAAAGCACAAGCGGTTACTCTGTTCCCATGTATGTACTAGGCACTGCGCTGCGTCTCCCGCTCCCCAACGCTACCCACACCACCTTCATCGGCTGGCTCGCTGCCCACAGCGCCGTGCTTCATCTTGTTGCGCAGCGAGTTGAGTTTGGCGCACAGCGTGTTGCACAGCTTGTCGTCGCCGGAGAGGTGGGCGATGCCTGAAAGGGGTGGGCGGGGATTACCCAATGTCTTGATTGCAAACCCATGGAAGGGAGGGAGGGCGGAGCAGGAGAAGTAAGATGAAAGTTAAGCACTGGCTCCCCGCTGAGGCAGGGGTGAGGCGTGGGTGAGGGTATGTGGTAAGGATGGGCATTGTAAGCACAGCACAGAAAGTTACAGTTACAGTTACGGTCGGTACGCGTGTACAGTGTGTCCGTACGAGCCAGGGGGGCCAAGGACACTATAAGAACCAGTCTTATAGTTAGTCTTGAGTCAGGGTCCCCTACAGGCCTCCGCACAGAAAGGCTGTTCCGTCTGTAAAGCCCCTCTTGCGACACGCTCCAGGTCACCCACCCAGCATCTGCATGGCGTGCCTGGTCTTGACCTTGTCGTCCGGCCGCAGCGTGGTGAGGTAGTCGTACATTATCTGGACGAAGGTACCACACACAGGCGCTGTGCTTCAGCAACAGCTGTCTACATGGGACGGAAAAGGCACCCAGCCAGCTGTTCACCTGCTCGTCTTCAGATCTCCACTTAATCTTGCCCCCCTGCGCCCGAATTGTAGTTATGTAGGCTGCGAGAGAGCTCGGATCCTGCAGGTCCGCTCCGGGGGCTCGCGGGCGCTCTTTTAGGAGGCGCTCTAGAACAGGGGCGCACCGCTTCGCATTATGAAGCACCAACTTTATAGCTAGCGCAACTATCTTTGAGATGGCGGGTTCTCCGGGCTTATGGGCCGGTTCTTGCCACGATGTTGTTCCTTTGAAGTTGCGCGTGTCAGCAGGCGATGCTGGCACAGTCAGCGTCACTGTCTTTGACTTTAGTGGATCGACATCCGACGCATTTGAGCACCGTCGCCGCTTTCGAGACAACTCAACATGTAACTGTTCCCCGCCAAGTGGCGAACGTTCGGGTGTACACGAGGGCTTCATCAGGAGAGGTCTATGCAGTATGCTATTTAAAAGTATGCAGTATGCTATTTAGAAAACACTGTCAAAGTTCGCGCTGTTGTAGACGGCCGGCCCCGTCGGGATCGAAACGTCGTAACTTCATTTGGCCGATTCCCGCCATAAATAGCCGAACGCGAAACTTGTAGAAAAGCCCCTACTAGGTTTACGTGCTAACGACCATTGTCGTATAGGAAGGAGACCCCTCATGATCGTGGGGCCGAGTGACTTGTGGAAAAGTCATCCGTAAAAGTCGAATGCAAGCTCGGTGACTTTTAGCCTTAGTAGCTTAAAAATAGCTTACAAGATGTGAGCTAACAGTTGGCTTTTAGGCTCCTTACTTCGCGCCAACACGTAACTCATTTTCTATGCATGCGTAGCCAACCACCACCGACACCACCTACAAAACCTCCTGCTTTTTTCTTGTTACCGCCTCTAAGCTCTTATACGCTTAAGGACCACTTTATATCTCAGGTGTCGAGGAAAGCGCAGGGCTAGCCCCGGGTTCCTTCAGGGACTAGATGCCCACGTCCTAAGGATATGTCAAAAGCCATTTAACCTAACGACCGTGAAGTATAGGCCGTGCTTGTGGGGCCGTTCTCATTTCTTCTTTGCCACACCTGCCCTTCCTGGCACGGCCGCCCCTTTCCTTCCCTGCGACCACCATCTCCTAAACCGCTCCCTCCTGGCATGCCACCTCCCTCCTGCTCCCTCCTGGCGTGCCGCCCCCCTTGCAGCAGCCGCCCAGACCCTCACTGCCATCTCCTGCACCTCTCCCGCCTGGCGTACCGCCTCCCTCACCTCAACCGCCCAGCCCTGCACAGCCACTTCATGCACCACTCCCGTCTTGTGTGCCGCCTCCCTCGCCGCAGCCGCCCAGCTCCCCAACTCCCTCGCCTGCACCGCTTCCGCCTGGCGAGCTGTCTCCCTCGCCTCAACCGCCCACACCCACACCGCCATCTCCTCCACTACTCCCGCCGGCGTGCTGTCTCCCTAGCCGGTGCCGTTCATCCCCGCACCACCATCTCCTGCACTGCTGCCGCCTGGCGTGCTGTCTCCCTAGCCGGTGCCGTTCATCCCCGCACCACCATCTCCTGCACTGCTGCCGCCTGGCATGCTACCTCCAACGCTGCAGCCGCCCGGCACCGAACCTGATCCACTCCCACCTGGCGTGCCGCCTCCCTCACAGACCCACACAGCAATCTCTTGCACCACAGCCGCCTGGCGTGCCACCTCTTTCGACGAAAACGCCCAGCCCCGCAACGACATCTCCTGCATCGCTCCCTCCAGGCGTGCTGCCTCCCTCGCTGCAGCCGCCCAGGCCCCCACCGTCGTCGCCGGCACTGCTCTCGCCTGGCATCCGGCCTCCCCCGCCGGAACCGCCCTGCCCTGCACCGCTACCTCATGCACCACTCCCGCCTTGCGCGCCGCCTCGCTCATTGCAGCCCCCCAGACCTGCACTGCCATCTCCTACGCTTGGCGTCCTTCCTCCCTTTCCGCAGGGAGACCCGCACCACCCTCTCCTGAACCGCTCCCTCCTGGCGTGCGACGTCTTTCAACGCAACCGCCCAGCCCCGAAACTCCACCTCCACTGCTCCCACCTGGCATACTGCCACCCTCACCTAAACCGCCCAGCACCACACAGCCGCGTCATGCACCGCTCTTACCTGGCGTCCTGCCTCCCTCGCAGCAGCCGCCCAGCCCAGAACCTCTTTCGCCTGCACCTCTCCCGCCTGACGTGCCGCCTCTCTCTCCCCGGCCGCCCAGCCCCTGCACGGCGCGGACGGCCCCCGCACTGCACGAACAGCCCCCACGCAGCGCAGATAGCTCCCGCCCGCCCCTGACAGTTCCCGCCCGGCCTCGACATCCCCCGCACGGCACGGACAGCCCCCTCCTGCAGCTCTCCCGCCTGACGTGCCGCCAATCTGTATGACCTCCCTGGCCAACTCACCACCCGATGCGATGGCCAGGTGGTTTTGTTTTGTTTCGGGCGTTTCTTCCTTTGTTTTCGTTCCTGTGGAGGTAGGCTTTTTGGTTGTTTTCAGCCTTCAGAGCCCCCACACGGCACAGACAGCCCCCGCACGGCACGGACAGCCCCCGCACGGCACGGACAGCCCCCGCACGGCACGGACAGCCCCCACACGGCACGGACAGCCCCCGCACGGCACGGACAGCCCCCGCACGGCACGGACAGCCCCCGCACGGCATGGAGAGCCCCCAGTCGGCACGGACAGCCCCCGCACGGCATGGACAGCACCCGCACTGCACGGACAGCCCCCGCACGGCACGGACAGCCCCCGCACGGCACGGACAGGCCCCGCACGGCATGGACACAGCCTTCCTCTGTAACAGTCCACATCGGAAAAAAAATGGACATCCCCCGCACTGTACGGACAGCCCCCGCACGGCACGGACAGCCCCCGCACGGCACGGACAGCCCCCGCACGGCATGGACAGCCCCCGCACTGTACGGACAGCCCCCGCACGGCACGGACAGCCCCATCCTGCACCTCTCCCGCCTGACGTGCCGCCTCTCTCTCCCCGGCCGCCCAGCCCCCACACGGAACGGACAGCCCCCGCACGGCACGAACAGCCCCCACCCAGCGCAGATAGCTCCCGCCCGCCCCTGACAGCTCCCGCCCGGCCTCGGCATCCCCCGCACGGCACGGACAGCCCCTGAGCAGCACGGACAGACCCCAGACGGCAGGCCCCGCACAACATGGAGAGCCCCCACACGGCACGGACAGCCCCCGCACGGCATGGACAGCACCCGCACTGCACGGACAGCCCCCTCCTGCACCTCTCCCGCCTGACGTGCCGCCTCTCTCTCCCCGGCCGCCCAGCCCCTGCACGGCGCGGACGGCCCCCGCACTGCACGAACAGCCCCCACGCAGCGCAGATAGCTCCCGCCCGCCCCTGACACCTCCCGCCCGGCCTCGACATCCCCCGCACGGCACGGACAGCCCCCTCCTGCAGCTCTCCCGCCTGACGTGCCGCCAATCTGTATGACCTCCCTGGCCAACTCACCACCCGAAGCGATGGCCATGTGGTTTTGTTTTGTTTCGGGCGTTTCTTCCTTTGTTTTCGTTCCTGTGGAGGTAGGCTTTTTGGTTGTTTTCAGCCTTCAGAGCCCCCACACGGCACAGACAGCCCCCGCACGGCACGGACAGCCCCCGCACGGCACGGACAGCCCCCACACGGCACGGACAGCCCCCGCACGGCACGGACAGCCCCCGCACGGCACGGACAGCCCCCGCACGGCATGGAGAGCCCCCAGTCGGCACGGACAGCCCCCGCACGGCATGGACAGCACCCGCACTGCACGGACAGCCCCCGCACGGCACGGACAGCCCCCGCACGGCACGGACAGCCCCCGCACGGCACGGACAGGCCCCGCACGGCATGGACACAGCCTTCCTCTGTAACAGTCCACATCGGAAAAAAAATGGACATCCCCCGCACTGTACGGACAGCTCCCGCACGGCACGGACAGCCCCCGCACGGCACGGACAGCCCCCGCACGGCACGGACAGCCCCCGCACGGCATGGACAGCCCCCGCACTGTACGGACAGCCCCCGCACGGCACGGACAGCCCCATCCTGCACCTCTCCCGCCTGACGTGCCGCCTCTCTCTCCCCGGCCGCCCAGCCCCCACACGGAACGGACAGCCCCCGCACGGCACGAACAGCCCCCACCCAGCGCAGATAGCTCCCGCCCGCCCCTGACAGCTCCCGCCCGGCCTCGGCATCCCCCGCACGGCACGGACAGCCCCTGAGCAGCACGGACAGACCCCAGACGGCAGGCCCCGCACAACATGGAGAGCCCCCACACGGCACGGACAGCCCCCGCACGGCATGGACAGCACCCGCACTGCACGGACAGCCCCCTCCTGCACCTCTCCCGCCTGACGTGCCGCCTCTCTCTCCCCGGCCGCCCAGCCCCTGCACGGCGCGGACGGCCCCCGCACTGCACGAACAGCCCCCACGCAGCGCAGATAGCTCCCGCCCGCCCCTGACACCTCCCGCCCGGCCTCGACATCCCCCGCACGGCACGGACAGCCCCCTCCTGCAGCTCTCCCGCCTGACGTGCCGCCAATCTGTATGACCTCCCTGGCCAACTCACCACCCGATGCGATGGCCAGGTGGTTTTGTTTTGTTTCGGGCGTTTCTTCCTTTGTTTTCGTTCCTGTGGAGGTAGGCTTTTTGGTTGTTTTCAGCCTTCAGAGCCCCCACACGGCACAGACAGCCCCCGCACGGCACGGACAGCCCCCGCACGGCACGGACAGCCCCCGCACGGCACGGACAGCCCCCACACGGCACGGACAGCCCCCGCACGGCACGGACAGCCCCCGCACGGCACGGACAGCCCCCGCACGGCATGGAGAGCCCCCAGTCGGCACGGACAGCCCCCGCACGGCATGGACAGCACCCGCACTGCACGGACAGCCCCCGCACGGCACGGACAGCCCCCGCACGGCACGGACAGCCCCCGCACGGCACGGACAGGCCCCGCACGGCATGGACACAGCCTTCCTCTGTAACAGTCCACATCGGAAAAAAATTGGACATCCCCCGCACTGTACGGACAGCCCCCGCACGGCACGGACAGCCCCCGCACGGCACGGACAGCCCCCGCACGGCATGGACAGCCCCCGCACTGTACGGACAGCCCCCGCACGGCACGGACAGCCCCATCCTGCACCTCTCCCGCCTGACGTGCCGCCTCTCTCTCCCCGGCCGCCCAGCCCCCACACGGAACGGACAGCCCCCGCACGGCACGAACAGCCCCCACCCAGCGCAGATAGCTCCCGCCCGCCCCTGACAGCTCCCGCCCGGCCTCGGCATCCCCCGCACGGCACGGACAGCCCCTGAGCAGCACGGACAGACCCCAGACGGCAGGCCCCGCACAACATGGAGAGCCCCCACACGGCACGGACAGCCCCCGCACGGCATGGACAGCACCCGCACTGCACGGACAGCCCCCTCCTGCACCTCTCCCGCCTGACGTGCCGCCTCTCTCTCCCCGGCCGCCCAGCCCCTGCACGGCGCGGACGGCCCCCGCACTGCACGAACAGCCCCCACGCAGCGCAGATAGCTCCCGCCCGCCCCTGACACCTCCC